TGGAGATGGGCATTTGAGGGAAATGCCGTTTTTGGAAATTAGTTAGGAATATTTCTTTCACTGCTCATAGAAGTTAGCTGCCAGTGTGCCCGCAGGGAACAAAACTATAAACACATATCTTCCTTCATCTCTTAAATATCTGCACAGATGTTTCCAAATTAACACCCTATTAAAAAAATACCTTGTGAGTGGCTTCAGAGATTATTGCAGTTGTTGTTAGGATCTCTCGTGGTGGGCTGACAGTTGCTTCCAAGTATTGTCTATAACGAGCTGAGGACAGTGCCAGGAACATAGGTGCACGATGAGTGTTTGCTGCTGCTGTTTCTTCTCCTCCCCACACCACCAGTCAGCCCAAAAGAGTCTGGCTTGCCCTGACTGGGTTCTTTCCTCAGCATGCCCACAGGCTCAGCATCTCAGGCCTGTGTGGATCCAGAGGAGGAGACTAGCCTTAAGTGGGTGTCAGGGACACCCCTGCAAGAGGTGACTTTCATGCAGGGACAGCCTCTGCAGGAAATGACCTTTGAGCTGAGATCCGAAGGAGGTGCCAAGTAATGCAAAGTCTGGTGTAAGAGGGCTCTGCGCAGGAGGAATAGCAAGGGCAACGGTCCTGAGGTGGAAACAGGCTTAGTGCATCTGGGAAGAGTGAGAAAACAATGGGGAAAAATTAGCGGGCAGAGTGGTGGGCCAGGAGGGCGACCAGACAGGGAACGCAGGTTTTGTTCTAAGTGTATTTCTAAGCCATTGGAGGTTTTTAAATAACAGATCAATATGATCTGGTTTATGGATATAAATACTTATGTGTATAAATGTCTGGAAAATGAATTGTATGGGAATGGTGCACTAATGGATATGGGGAGAGCAGTCAGGGTCCAAGTGACCTTTAGACAAGTCATTTGACCTCTCTGACCCTCAGTCTCTTCCTCTCTAAAATGAGGATAAGAAAACCCACCTCTGAGGCTTCTGAGAGTTAAATGATAATAATGACTGCAGTGCCCCCAACACCAAATGGGGCCCCTTCAATATGGTCCTCTGTTTTTTAGATTAAGAGCCCCCAAGACACCTCACTTGTGCTAAATTCTTTTGAAACAGAAACTTTGATGGGCTTTGTTATTAAAACTCTGAGACCCTGACTGATTGCATGAGGTGTCCAGAGACATCTCTGCCAGTTATAACGAAGGGAATTAGTGATAGCAACAGACGCAGGATTTTCCTTTGCTGGGAGCTTATGGCCTGTAAGGTAGGCGTGGTTGTACCCCAGGCTGCAGGCCGGAAGCCCGGAGTAAACCTTGCCTCCCAAATAAGACTGGGGTTGTCCATCTTGGACAGCTGTGGGTGCCCAGGGGCGTGGGTGACCAGACAAGCCCACTATTCTCTGGGAAATAGTCCCTGCCTCTCGCAATAGGCAAATCCACCGACGAAGCTGTTGCCAATCTGGACGCTTCCGAGCAGCTGCCACGCTGCAGCAACTGCTCTGTCTGGACATACACATGATCTTGTTTCTAGACAAATGCAAGCACAACTCAGATGATCGGCTTTTTCTTTTATGGATGTGTCAAGTGTCTTTCATAAAATGGAAGATGAAATGGTGATTGGCTGGAGACTGTTTTTGTTTTCTTGCCTGTGTGGACAGTTGAAGTGTAATGTTCAAGATGGTAAAATCATGACTCTCAGGAGAATTTAAAATGACCTCACGTCAAAGATTTTATTAAACTCATCAATGAATGGGAGAAACAGTAAGATGTTCAAACTAAGTCAAAGAGCATTTGAGAACCTAGGTAGTTGTAGGCAATTTTTTTTAAAGATCTTATTTATTTATGTATTGAGAGAGCATGAGAGAAAGAGAGAGAGAGACAGAGAGCATGAGCAGGGGAAGGGGCAGAGGGAGAGGGAGAAGCAGACTCTGCTGAGCGGGGAGCCTGACATGGATTCTAGGACCCTGGGATCATGGCCTGAGCCCAAGGCAGACGCTTAACCGACTGAGTGCCCCCGTTGTAGATAATTTAATAAAAGATTATTAAGAGACGATTGCAAGGCTAGTTATACATCTGGTTAAAGTCTGACAAAGTAGTAAACTATAAACCTTCAGTTTCATTTCTTACTATACAGAGATTATTATTATTTAACTAGAAAAAAATCTACAACGTAGCATGGAACTTCACTGAATCCTGGCCTTTAATCCATACTCTTTATAAGATTCTAAAACTCTGTTCCCTCTAAAAGCTTCATCTTTGCTGGATTCTCCAAGCTGGAAAGGCGCTCACACCACATTGACGGGACAGTCACTGAGTGGGCAGATTAGCCAGGTCCTGAGCCCACCTTCTGGAACGTCTTGATGGTCATTCTCACCATCAAGAGATGGTGATGGCCACCTAAGGAGATGGGCAGAGAGTCATGGAGAGCCTCCATCTACTCTACTCTAGAAGGAAACAGGGGCTCTCACCTTGGTGCTGTGTGTCTCTTTATCTCCCAAAGACTTGAACGCAGGGGCATTACATTGCGCGTCCGTATCCACCCATTAACTCAAAAAGTGGCCAACGAGCAGCTCCTATACCGGAAGCTGGGGATGCTGTTAGAGCAAGGAAGGTGTGCTCTCCAGAGCCAGTGCTCTAGCCTGGACGTAGACACCACATAGACAATCATCACCTACTTAGTGAATTATATGCGATTATCATCAGCACCGATATGGAAAAGCATTGAGCAAAAAAATTGGAGAGGCTTAGGGTAGTCTAGGGGAGTCTGAGCATCAGGGAATCTTTTGCAGGGAAGGGACATCTATATGGAGCCTGGAAAGATGAGTGGGTCTGACCAGGCACCCAGCTGCTGACTCTTTCGGGTAGAGGGAACAGCCTGTGTGAAGGACTCAAACCCCCACAATGGGTGGTGCTCTTGTGGGGCTGAGGAAGTTGATACCACGAGCCTGGAAATGTAGGCAGGGGTGGGGTCTCTTAGGGCCTGAAGGTTTAGGCAGAGTAAAGGCTCCGAGGGAGCCATGGAAAGCTCAGAGTGGACCATCACATGATCAAAATTGGTGGCCCCACACTCAAGCACAGGGGACAGTGCCATACCTCATACACATTCAGCCAAGGTCGGCTTCCCTTACGAAGGAATATGTGGCTGGCCAAGGGCACACTTCATGGGGTCCCTCACACCCAGAAGGCAGTCAGTGTCTTATTAGCCCTAACTTGGCTTTCTGCTTTTCAGTGCAACCCCCCAAACACACATACTCTGCCTCCAACTAGTGAGATCTGCGCCATCCCTCTCAGGGAGGGTTTCTGGTTCCCCAGGGATGGGAGAGGAGATGCCCATAGGCAGGCGTGTCCTTCACAACACACATGCCTCTAACACTTCAGGAACATGTTCCTTCTTTTTAAAAAATCTGTAAATTTCCAAAAATGTGTTTTAAAAAAAACATTTCAAGTTTCCACGACAAAGATTTTTAAACAAATGCACCATCCAACCAAGATCATGACAAGGGTCATGGGGTGTGAGGAAATGAGCAGTCTTGTTACACTGTTGGGACGGAAGTGTACACAGGTCAACCATGCCTGAGGGCAATGAGGGAGGGGAGCTCTAAGGATTTTACCCACCTGGAAATTTGTTTTCTGGAAATTCTCTGTGAAAATAAATGAGAGTTGCAAATATTTGACTATAAAGATGATCATCTTTGTACTGTTTGGAATAACTGAAAACTGGAATTAGCTAGCATGATGCAGAAGCAGGAAGGACAAGCATGGTTCACCCTTAAAACAGAAAACAGCGCCACTGTTTAAAAGGATACTGAGTCATGTGTCTTTGGGGGCACAGAATAATATTCATAACCTATCATTAAGTAGGGGGAAACAGCAGATTGTAAAACTGTATGTAGCATATGATCCCATGAGGTTTTTTTTTTAATTTTTATTTATTTATGATAGTCACACAGAGAGAGAGAGAGAGAGAGAGAGAGAGAGAGAGAGAGGCAGAGACATAGGCAGAGGGAGAAGCAGGCTCCATGCACCGGGAGCCCGATGTGGAATTCGATCCCGGGTCTCCAGGATCGCGCCCTGGGCCAAAGGCAGGCGCCAAACCGCTGCGCCACCCAGGGATTCCCCCATGAGGTTTTTAAAATACAACTGACTCTGGGTATATAAATGAACAAATAAAAAAATAAATAAAATAAAATAAAGTGACAAATATGCACAAGATCCAAGAGGTCATGAATAAAAGGAGTGACAGTGGTTTTCTGTGGTAGGCATTTCTGTTTTCTTCTACCTGCTTCTCATTATTTTATGGTCTCTCTGTTGTGAACTTTTATTGCTTTTGTAGTAAGAAGAAGGTTCCATGGACGAAACTTGTTCATGGTCTCTGAGGATCTCAACTGCAGTAGATTTTATGTGGGATTTTCAGTGTCTGCATGGAGAATCCGATTCCACTTATGCTTCTCAGATACACGTGTAACAGTGCTTCTCTAAATAGCTATAGACCTGACTGTGGTTTAAAGTGATACTTTTCAATAGTTGGACATCCAATTCCATTTTTGAAACAGAAGAACTTTATGCAGAAAATAAATAAAAAGCAACACTTCGGGATACCTGGATGGCGCAGCGGTTTGGCGCCTGCCTTTGGCCCAGGGCGCGATCCTGGAGACCCGGGTTCGAATCCCACATCGGGCTCCCGGTGCATGGAGCCTGCTTCTCCCTCTGCCTGTGTCTCTGCCTCTCTCTCTCTCTCTGTAACTATCATAAACAAATAAAAATTTAAAAAAAAAAAGCAACACTTCTTAACAAACGTAATGGGGTGGTTGAACATTTTTGCTTCATTTTATTTATAAACTGTATGTACTAGGAGCTAGTGAGTATAAAAAGTATAATTAACTAAACTTAAAGAAAGAAAAAAGCAACCAAGAGCCTGTGGGTCAAGGAAACATATGACTGTCCTCTAGTGTTTCTAAGCCAGTGGCGTAGGTGGAGTGGTTGTCAGCAACAGTAATAACAATGAATGCTTTCTCCTCCCGCCCCCAGACACTCTTGGCCAGAGCACTTTACGACAACCACCCAGACTGTTCCTATGAGCTGGCTTTCTGCAGAGGAGACATCTTGACCATCCTGGAACAAGACGTGCCAGAAAGCGAGGGCTGGTGGAAGTGTTTGCTCCATGGGAGGCAAGGTCTGGCTCCTGCCAACCGCCTCCAAATCCTCCCTGAGGCCCCTGCAGACAGGCCCTGTCCCCCTTTCCTGAGAGGCCTGGAAGAAGGTCTCGCCAGCTCCAAGGAGACCTACCAGGTGCCCACCCTGCTCCAGCCCCTGACTCCAGGCCCCGTGTATGAGCACATGAAGAGTTGGGTGGAGGGGCCTCCACCTGCCACCGCCGAAATCTACGAATTCCCCGACCCACCTGCCAGTGCCAGAATCATCTGTGAAAAGACTCTAACCTTTCCAAAACAGGTATGCACGTTTCTAAATAAAACAGATGGGTCAAGGAGTATGTGAGACACCCCGGGGCTTACCTCTGCCTTGAATTCTTGGTGTCTATCAGGAGGATCAAATGTGCTAAGTGGGAACCTGGACTCCTCTGACTCGGTGATGATTTCCTTGGCAGGAAATTGGATGCTTAGTGGGGCCGGTCATGAAAGTATTAAGAACTTCCGCGGTGGCCTCTTGGTGCACTAGGACTTCTAGTGATGGGTTCAAAGGCAAGGAATCACCCAACAGATTTAATATCTATATTCCCTTCAACCCAAGAGACTTTACGTCCAGTATTGCTACAGAAACACACAAGAAGGCAAACATATCTGGGTGAGGAGGCCATGGCCATAATAGCATTTTTTTTTTTTGTCACAGGGTAAAATAGTAGATGACTAAATGGTTGTTAATGGGGGGGATTGGTTACCTAAATTTTTATTATCCCTACAACATACTAGGCACTTGTCAAAAAAAAAAAAAAAAAGATGAAGTAATTCTAGGGGACATGTATCAGGGCGATAAAACAATCATTTAAACAAAAACCAAACAAAAACTAAAAAAAAAAAAAGAAAGAAAGAAAAGAAAAGAAAAGAAAAATCTGTGTTTGTATATGTGTGCATGCTCATCCAGAAGAGATCACACACCAATAGCGGCTCCCCTTAAGAAGTGGAGTTGATCATTTTTATGTTCCTGGGACTGTGCCTGGCTGGGGCGGGTACTCAGTAAATACATGACGAGCAGAGAGATAAGGAAGCTGATTTGTGTGTTATATGCAGTATGTATTGCATCTGCAATTTTTTAAAAATAGGCATTTAAAAAGCAGAGGGAAAGAAGCACCAGGTAAATGCAGAATGAACACTTTTTTTTTTTTTTAAGAAGGGAAGAAATTTAAAGAACAAAGGAGAAAAATCAAGTGTTGTTTTCCCCAGGCCCAGGCCTTCACGAGGTGTTAAGCATGCAGAAAAGATCTGCGTGGTCTCCGGTCACTGTGGGCATTTCCTGCACACTCTGCCTCCAGCTCAAAGGACACATCCCACCTGGCTCGAGCTCCAGGCAGGGGGGTCCTGGCCAGGTCTATGTCCAGGAAGGCTGCTCCCCCTGATGTACGTGCTGGGGGCCCTGGGAAGGTCCTGCTAACCATGCGTGCCTTCTCCACACCACTTCCGACCAGAGAAAGGTGTTGATTTCTTAGAATATCTTGAACACTTCAGATTTTCTAACCCCCTGGGCTGCCAGGCAGAGAACCAGACATTTGTTACGCAGAACAGCTGCCATTCAAAGGCGCTGGCTACAAACACCAGAATGAAGCTGGTCAAGCCTTCTACAGCCGCCCCCAACGTGGACCCTAAGGCACTTTTCTGGAACAGCTGGCCAGTCGAGGCCTGGCATGCTCAGCTGCTGTCTGAGCAGCTGACTCCAGGCAGGGCCTTGGTGGCGGTTTCTCCAAGAACAAGTGGCCTTTTCTGAAGTGACTTTGAGTTTCCTCCTCTCCCTAAAAGGCAAACAGGTGCCATGTCTGCGGTCCACCAGGTATCCCTAGCACCCCAGCCAGCGCAGGCTCCTACAACTTTAACGTTTTTGTTTCTAAAGGTTTTACTTATTTATTCATGAGAGACACAGAGAGAGGCAGAGACGCAGGCAGAGGGAGAAGCAGGCTCCATCCAGGGAGCCCGATGGGGGACTCGATCCCAGGACCCCGGGATCACACCCTGAGCCAAAGGCAGAGGCTCAACCACTGAGCCACCCAGGCGTCCCCAACACTAACGCTTGCTAAGTAAATGAAGCGACTGTGGACTCCAACTTCTAGACTGGCATCATGATAAAGACGAGTTTACTTTCTAAACCTAACTCAGAAAAGGGTCAGAGCATGGGCTGTGCGATTCGCCTCGACACAAAGCGTGTCTGTGATTGGAGCCCTCCTACATGTGAGGCTGCGGCCGTGCACACAAACCACAGCCACCCCAGGGGAATTCAGAAACCAGGGGCTCTTGGCCACTCAAGGAAGCTGCTTGACGTGGCCCCAGTAAAACACCTGGGGAAGTTTCCTGCCCGTTTCCTCTGTGGCTGCTCCATCTGCATTTTTGCTTCCTCCTTCCCCACTTTTTTTGTATTGCCTTCTCTCTGCTTTGGGGGCGGGGGGTTGTTTCAGAGCAAGAGGTGCCACCTGTGGCTTGGAAATCAGCAGGGCTGGCTGATGGGGCTGATGGGGCCATGCTGGGAGAGGGGACACGTCCCAACGCTCCTCTGTAACTCTGCGTCTTACTCTGCCATTTCGAAGTCTCGAGGTTGTACCTTCTGGCTATTCTAAATAATTCCACTGTCTCCTCTGCTACGAGAAGGAAGGAGCTAGAAGAGGTGGATCAGTTCAGGGGCACCTGGGTGGTCGAGTGGTTGAGCGTCTGCCTTTGGCTCAGGGTGTGATCCCAGGGTCCTGGAATCGAGTCCCACATGGGGGTCCCCATGGGGAGCCAGTCTCTCCCTCTGTGTCTCTGCTCCTCTGTGTGTGTGTGTGTCTCAGGAATAAATAAATTTTAAAAATCTTTCAAAAGAAAACCGGTTCAGAATCTTCTGATCTGTGGAAGAGGCAGCCCTCGCCACCCCGCTCGTGTAGTCTGGGGGTCGGCCCTGACTCTGTGGTGGTGGAGGGAGTGCATACTAAGTAGAAGCACTTGATGGGACGAGCCAAGTCCAGCCACCAGCTTGGAGCTGTTTTCCAACGGGCAGTTCATGGGCTTGGAACCGGCCCATGTGACCAAATGACCCATTTCACAGAACCCCCCTCCTTATCCCCTGCTTTGACTCTCACTCAAGTAAGGTGGCCAAAAATTAAAAACCAAGAAAGGTGAAAAGATATCACTTTTTTCGAGTTGTCTGATCAAGGGACCCCCGTATCAGAAGCAGACATCTCTGGAAGAGACCTATGTGGGTCTTGAGGACAACTCTTCACTTTCCAAACAGGGAACTAATTCCCAGAGAGGTGGGGTGGCCCATCCAGGGTCACAGGGTGACAGATGCCCAGGACCGAAGTTCTGTGAGCCTGCCCACAGCTGTCCCTGCACCTAGCCTCTGCATGCCCCTGCCCTTGGCTGTCCTGACTCCGCGGCTGACACTGTCCATTCTTTGCAATGAGCTTTTTACTGAGACGTAACCTCCAGATCCTAAGGGTGTAGCTTAGTCACTAGCATCCAGATCAAGAGTCTGAACAAAACTAGCACCCCAGGAGCCCCCTCACACTTTCTCCCGGTCACTTATTTCCTCTGGGGTGGCCACTATCTTGAGCTTTGTTTTACTTTTTATTTCAACTTCCTTAATAGAATAGGACTGGCCTGACTTTTTTTTTTTTAATCACCATACAGAGAACATATTAGATGCTGGTTTGAATTCAGGAAGGGGGATCTTTTGTATTTCAAGTAAAAGGGGTTCCAACTTCCCAGTGGGGTTACTTTCAGACCCACTAGTTCTTTTCTTTTTCTTTCTTTTTTTTTTATTTGAGAAACAGAGAGGCAGAGTCACAGGCAGAGGGAGAAGCAGGCTCCATGCAGGGAGCCTGATGTGGGACTCGATCCTGGGACTCCAGGATCACACCCTGGACTGAAGGCGGCGCTAAACCACTGAGCCACCCAGGCTGCCTGGGCCCACTAGTTCTTGAACAGGAGTTCCCTCCTATCCTCCTAAACCTTTGAAACCGTGGTGCCCAAACATTAATTTCTTAATGTTCCTTAATTTCTTTTCCAAGAAAACACTGGGCATTTTCGAGCCAGCTTCCTCTACCTGAAATTCCCACCAGAAAGTCCCTCTGTCCTCTGCAGGTGGTCTACCCACAAAGCCAGCTACAAAAGAAAAGGAGCCTGGGGTCCTAGGGGGTAGTAGGCAATGGAAGTGCATTTGGAAAAGCTCTGTGGTAGGAGAGAGCTTGGGGTTTTGGAATAAGCCTGGACTGGAGGTGATGGCCCTTGACCTAGCCCGAGACACACCGTGCACGGTCGCTGCGATTGGACAGGGCAGGCCTGTCGGGAGCTTGGATTTAACCCCGAGTGGGGTGGAAAACCACTGTCATAGCCTAAGAGCAGCAGGGACAAAGTCGGGTTTCCTGCACCACCGCAGGGAGAGCATTCATAGAGCAGAGGAACCATGGGGCGTCTCACAAACACAGGCTCCCTTGAGCACAGTTAGTTATCGGGTTGGGAAAAGGTGGGGTTTAGGTGATGGGTACACAGAGGCTCTATGCAAAATGGGGCAGCGTGTAAAGGGTTGGCATCAGCCCAGGCTGCAAAGCAGGCTCCTCTCTCCCTGGGACCCTCCAGGTTGGGGTAGACGTGGAATGTCCCGTCTGATGCCGCCTGCCTGGAGCTCTGTGTCAGGGGTGGAAAGCGAGCCTGCTTCTCTGACAAGAGTAGGATGTTTCCTTTTCCCTAATAGAACTTCAGGCTGCAATGCTCCTGAGAGCCTAGGACTTTAGAGAACCAGGTTTCTCTGTAAGAAAGCAGTTAGCATTTGGAGGGACCTTATTTTGACACGTGACAGCTGACTGTGTCCTGGGGGGAAGGGGGCTGTATGTCCTGTTTGCTTTGCAGCTGCTTTACCTGCAGCGCCAGTTATTCCAGCCCAATCGGTGGTGGGACCCACTGGTCTGCTACCACTGCCTCAAGGGGTACCTGTTCTTTCACCCCAAACAAACAAATCAATAAGTAGGTTCTAGCATTTTCTTCATGCCAGGCACAGAGGTGGGTCGCCCTCCTGAACAAAGGGACTCTGCTCTAGTCCTCATCAGCCGCTCCTCTATCTGGACCGCCCACCCATCTGCACCTCTTCAGGTCCTAACCATCCTTGCGATCCAATTCAGAAAGCCCTGGGTGCCCAGTGGGAAATGCATCTCCCTCTGCCAGACTCTCTGGACTTGACCCTTTCCTCTCCTCAAGGGCCTGTCTCGCTTTCCAGCCCACATCCTGGCTGTGTCCACACCTTGTTTCCCCCTTTAGACCTTAACCATGGCAGACAGCATCCATTCACCGATAAAATCATCCCTCCTGGAGACATCCTTGCTTGAAAGTTCTGACATGGAGCCCTGACAACTGCATTATTTTAAAGTTCGCCTGGTGGTTGTTTCCCTGGCCAGGTCTGGGTGCTGCCGCCCTGGAGCAGACAGTGTGGTACTCCGTGGAGAGCGGATATTCATAAACTCTGGAGGATTAACTGGAATCCAGTCATAGGCACAGCCTCCAAGGCTGAGGGCCGCCACGGGTCTGCTCACCTCCTGCTGCCCCATGGGACCCTCATCCCCAGTGGCATGTCCTGCGACAGGCCCCTGCTCCCTCCCCACCCCCATAATCCCTTCACTTGACACCCTTCCAGCCTCTCTGCCTGTCTGGCTCACTGCTGCATCCCCAGCATCATCAGATGAACACATTAACCACCCGGATTCAAATCACAGCCCCAGATCCCTAGAGAACTTCAGAATCGCCTGGGAGGCTCGCTGATAGTGCAGATTCCCAGGGTCCCCGGCAGGACTCAGAGACCCCAGTATAACTGACACGGGGCCTGGGAATCTGCGTTCTAAGCTGCTTCCCCATCCCGTGTTGGGGGTCTGAGTGAAGGGCCGCCATTTAGGGGTGCAGGGGATTGCCTGCATGCTGTGGGGGCAGCCTTTGTTGTGTGAGGGTAACCTGCAACGTGACATGTGGACTCTGCGGTGACATTTCCTTCCCTTGGCTCTTCCTTTTCCCCTCCAAGGCCCTCTTCACGATTCCCAGACCAGCTCGGGCCTCGTTGCCAACCCTGCCTTCCCAGGTGTATGACGTGCCAGCCCAGAGCCGGGGCCCCCCAGCTCTGAAGGTGAGTGTGGCCTTCCCAGCATCACACAGATTGCTCTTCTGCTCCCTGCCTCTCCTTCCACCTGTCACTGAGCGTCTCTTAGGGGGCAGGTTCCCAGGTGGCTCCTCCCTGGGCTTTGGGGACAGGCTGGTAGGTCATCTCTAGCCTTGGCTTCCTGTGATGCTCTCACCCCCTCCCACACTTCCGGCCTGGCTTTTGCTCCAGGGCAGGTGTGACCCTCGTCTGGCCCATGGATGAGCACACTTGCTCCCTTTGCCACGACAGATGCCGGAAGCACAGGCTGCCCCTGCACAGGACGAGCAGAGTTGAGGCACTGGCTTCGGGCACCAAAGTCACACACATAAAGACACACATGCTGGACTCATATCACTCACCTCACTCACCTCACCCTCATCCCGGGCCTCTCACCCTTGTGTTTATTGAAAATAGTGAGGTTTTGTTCATCGTGATTTTTTTGCATTAATTGTGATTTTTTTTTAATGTTGCATCACATTGTTATTTACCTTAACGATTGAGAATTTTGGTGCTCTCTCAACCGCTGTGGCCAAGGCAGCTGCTTCTCTTCCTTCTCCCTGGTCCCCACCCGAGAAGAGGCCATCTCTAGCACAGCCACCCCCTGTGCTTGGCCATCAGATTCCCACCCTTAGCTTTCCCCGAGCTGGAGTTGGCCCCTGTGCACTACGACCCCATGCTCAGGTGGCATGATTCGTCCCTGAAGGTCCTGCTGGGGCACTCTCCACTCTGCTTGAGGGGGATGAAATACACCCTTCCCCAGTGATGAGGAGTTGGTAGGAAACCCACATTTCAGCTCTCTCCAAAGCAACCCCCTCTCCAGAGTCCAGCTCTTTCTTTGCAGAACCCTGTTTCCTACTTTCTTTCCCCTCACTTTGGAACACGGCACCTACTTTTCACATCCTGATATATGTATTTTCTAATTGCTGTACAAAAAAAAAAAAAAGCACATCATCTGTCCAGAACCATGTCTTATGCTCCTTACTGGGTGTCTATATGGCATATGGCCCAGTGTCCTGGTGGTTAGTAGGCATTCTGTGAATATTTGCAGGATGATGACACAACCTACAAGCACCAGGAAAATTTCTGCTGAGAAAAACAAAAAAAGACGGAAGCATATTAAGTCACAGTTTCATGTATTCCTTTTTAAGTCCATGCTAAGGCTAACCTACAGATGCAAATGAGCCACCCTATAGTTTGTCCCCAGCTTCCGTCAAGAGGGCATCTTCTTTTTTTTTTAAAGATTTTATTTATTTATTCATGAGAGACAGAGAGAGAAAGAGGCAGAGGGAGAAGCGGGCTCCCCACAGGGAGCCCGATGTGGGACTCTGTCCCAGGACCCCAGGATCACGACCTGAGCCGAAGGCAGATGCTCAACCACCGAGCCACCCAGGCATCCCAAGATGGTATCTTTTTAAAGCACAGAGTCTGTTGTTGAAAACATAACCACATAAACTTCCACCATGTGAGCATCATGACCGAGAGCCCCCCAAATCTTTGGTGTTCTGTGTTCTCTTTTGGAAAGAACACTTGCAGTGGGTAGAGTTTGTGATGTGTATCCATCAGGAAGGAAAACTCCAAGTTATCCTTTTCCGTCTTTCCCCAGGAGCCAGAGAAGCAGCAGTTATATGATATACCCGCCAGCCCCAAAAGGGCAGGACTTGGTTCCATGACCAGCCCACCAGGTGTAAGTATGACGAGGCCCAGAGATTCGATACTAGGAAAATGTGAGCATCCTCCGGGATGTTTTATTAGCATGGCCAAAACTGGGAATGCAAATTCCTCATAGCAGAGCTTATTTCCTTTGAACCCCCTGCTGGCCGTGGTGTTCAGGAACAGGGCGAGCAATGTGCTTTGGGCACATCCTCTACCTTCTCCGTGCCTCAGTTTCTTATAACAAACTAATTGTGAGGACTGAGATCATTTCTGCAGAGGACCTAGTACAGGTACAGTGCTTGGCACAGAGCAAAAGCTCAGTAGATCTTAGGTAAATGCTTCTTCTTCCTCGCCTTCCACACCTCAGAGATGGGTTGTGTTAAAATGGGTTTTTATCTGTTTATAGAGGACATGTCTTAATTTGAAAATCTGGAATCCATGTTCATTGTCGAATGCATTTAAAAATACATATACCTATGCCCAAGGTCATTGGGGAAGGCCTTTAGAAAGTGATGGCATCTCTGCAGCGTCGTGAGGGGTGCATAGAGGTTTGTTAGAGGGAAAGGAAGGGGTCGGGAGGGCACGTAGAACAGAAGGACTGGTTTGGGCAAAATGAACTATAATGGGCTAAGTGAGCATTTGGAGTTCAGGGGATGGTGAACAGCCAGGGTGACTGAGCCCACAGGGAGGCTGGTGGCAGGTGTGGTGGGAGGCTTAAAGGCGGATACAACCAGATTATGAAGGGCCTTGAGCGATGATGGCAATGGGGAGCTGCTGAAGTCACTTGAGTGGGGGAGTGACCATCAGATTTGTAAGAAGCACGCTACCCGGCACTTAGCAGGTCCTCAGCGTAATGCACATTTGTCAGACGAGTCACTCGAACCCTCTTTTTATTGCTACTGACCTGGGCATCTTTGTGGGGCTCTTCGCAGAGGCAGAGCGCTGCCGCGATGTCGGCGATTGCCACGAGGCAAGGCAGCTACAGCACGTTGCCGAGCCCCCAGAAGTCGGAATGGATCTATGACACGCCAGTGTCTCCAGAAAAAGCTGATGGCAGAAATGCATCTCTAGGCAGCTTTGTGGAAGAATCAGAGCCCCACACTCCCCGCAGGTATATGTCCAGCTTCCAGAATCCTCCAAATAGCAGAGCAAGGTCCCTCAATCCACACCTGCATAAAAACGTGCCCATGCAGAAAAAACTCAGCCTTCCAGAAATTCCTTGCTACAAATTTCTGGCACCCAGGGACACGATCCCCTTGGACGAGAGCGCGGGCTACAAGGTCCCTTCAAGCTTTCTGATTCCCCGGGTGGAACAGCAGAACACCAAGCCAAACATTTATGACATCCCGAACGTGGTGGCCGGGGGCCGACGGGCCGTGACCGAGCCGGGGACAGTGAACGGGCCTTCGGAGAACGCGGACCGCAACTCCGCGTGGCCCTCGGGACAGGCACCATCGCTGTCCCCGGACCCCGACAGGCTGTCCGTTTCCAGCTGTGACAGCAGAGCCAGCGTTGTGTCCTCGTGCTCGTCCACGTCCACGGACTCCTCGTCCAGCTCCTGCTCGGAGGACTCAGGCAAGGAGCTCTCGTTGGACCCGGACCTGGCCAGGGAGACGGTAGCGGCGCTGCAGCAGCAGGTGGCCGGCTCTGTCGCCGGCCTGATGCTCTTTGTCAGCAGGAAGTGGAGGTTCCGAGACTACCTGGAGGCCAACCTCGGCGCCATCCGCACGGCTGCCCACCGCGTGGAGGAGTCTTTGAGAGCATTCCTGGAGTTCGCCCGCGGGGTCCAGGGGAGCGCCTGTAACCTCAGTGACACCACCCTGCAGGCCAGGATCCGGGACCAGCTACAGACCATCTCCAACTCCTACCAGATCCTGCTCGGGACGAAGGAAAGCCTGGACAGCTGCAACTGGTCTCTGGAAGTCCTTGTGACCGACAAGGTCCAAAACAACCCGGATGACCTCGAGCGCTTTGTCATGGTGGCACGGATGGTTCCAGAAGACATCAAGAGGTTTGCCTCCATCGTCATTGCCAATGGGAAGCTCCTTTTCAAGCAGAACTGTGAGAAGGAAGATACCTTGCCGATGACCCCCCATGCACCATTGAAGCTTGCAAAATGCTACCAGCTTCCCCAAAGGGAGATTGAATCATATCAGAGCAGCGTTCCTGTTCACAAACAAAAGGAAAGCGTACACTCCCCCGAGCTACTGAAGAAAAACGGGACAATTATCCGCGAACCGGTGAGTTCAGCGTGGTGTTATAAGGATGCTTTCAAGTTTTATCTGGAGTGGTCACCCATCAGTTAGATGCTAAGAATATTTCACTGATTAATTATTAGATAGTTCAATAATTGGATTATTGTCTTCCAATAATTGTTGAGAGATGTTGGTTCCATTTAAAAAAAATAAAATTCATGAAAGTAATGTTCCAGATGAAATCTTATTAAGAAGTAAGATAAACACTTTAATATATTTTTTTAAAGATTTTATTTATTTATTCATGAGAGACACACAGAGAGAGGCAGAGACATAGGCAGAGGGAGAAGCAGGCTCCATGCAGGAAGCCAGATGTGGGACTTGATCCCGGGACTCCGGGATCACACCCTGAGCCGAAGGCAGATGCTCAACCCACTGAGCCACCCAGGCATCCCTAAACACTTTAATATTAAGGCACATCGGATGTCTTCAGGAAACTTGGTGTCTTGGGGTTTGTCTCTAATACTGGGGTTAGGGAGGACTTTGAAAACCTTTTGATATCTGTTCTTTGAGCACCTTTTTTAATCTCACCAATGAGTTTCCTTGCATTTTTGACAGTTTCAGATTTAGTCATTTTCTTTGTGTTTCTTAGAAACAGAACAGGAAGTGTAAACACTCTTCCAAGTTTTGCATGATCTTAGCAGCCTCCAGACTGCAGTTACTGTTAGAAATTCTTTGCTGCATGAGTTCAGACGCTATAGAAAGAGAACCTCTGGTTCAAGGATTTCAAGGATCAAGGGTCATTATAATTTAAAAATATAGATATAAAGAGATATAATACACATTAATATAAATATATGTATACTTTTTTAAAAACCCATGTGTCCTTATATAAAGCCATATTGGTAGGAAAAATTCAGCCCTTGGTCTTGCAAAGTCTCCTTTGCTAAGAAAAGGCATCAGACCTCTGAAACTAATAACATACTATATGTCAACTGATTGATTTTAAATTTAAAAAGGGGGGGGGCATCCAGAGGCAGAACCATTGGCAAAACTATAAAGAGAATTGTTGAGGCAGCCTCGGTGGCTCAGCGGTTTAGCACCACCTTCGGCCTAGGGCGTGATCCTGGAGACCTGGGATCAAGTCCCATGTCAGGTTCCCTGCATGGAGCCTGCTTTCTCCCTCTGCCTATATCTGTGTGTGTGTGTGTGTGTGTGTGTGTGTGTGTGTGTGTGTGTCATGAATAAATAAATAAAATCTTTAAAAAAGAGAGAGAATTGTTCAGGTTTTAAAGTGGACATAAATACCTCTATACCGTGTAAAAACCATTCAAGTTGGTAATCAGGAGGGATTTTATTTTTCAGAAGTTGCCTAACCTAGAAAAGACAGAAAAGTCCATCTCAGAAGGAAGGTTGGATGAAAACAAAAACTTTGAAGCACAGGTAAGTGATAGTGCTGACTGCCTGGTACTTGTGACTCACACGCTTTGTCCCTAGAGATGTCTTCTTCTGCTCTGAACAAGTCAGCATGAGAGCCACGACCCACTTGGGAGTAGATGTTTTTATGATAGTTTTTCCCATTTGCAGTAGAAGGACCCCTGGAGATGAGCAGGCCCGATGAACCCCAGTAGGGTGGAGCATGATTCTCTAACCATTAGTGACATAGTTCTTGGTGGCCTGCAGGTTTATCATGGGTGGGACTGACATGGCTTTCAATAGCATGGACTCACATTTCCTTTTTGTATTCTCTTTTAATGCTTCTGATCACAATAGAAAAACCATTTTGGTTTGGGGCTTGTTTATCATCAACTCTTTGACACTTAATGTACCTTCCTTTTTTTTTTTTTTTTTTTTTAGTTAAAGATGTTATCATTGTGCTTATTTTTATTGGTTACCTTCTACTGGTGGCAAATGACAATGACTTTCCAGTTACCAATTTGAAAAGTTTCCATTAAACTAATATATATAAAACCAGTGGGTTATGTTAAAGACGCAAATGAAGCAAGTCAAGGTCAAGAGGGAGGCAAATAGGGCCTAACCTGTGAAGGTCATCTGAGTACCTGAAGCCTGAGGACCAGTGAACCAGATTAGCTCCCTGGCTAGGGGTGCATTGGGGTGGAAGAGGCAAGAACAGAGATGTCTGATGACATGGGCAAGACCATTTGTCTTCTCAGGGGGTAAAATGGACCGAGAACTCTAGGCTGGAAGTCCTAGATCAGGGTGCCAGCATGGTCAGATCCTGGTGGTCTGTCTTCTCGTTGTGTCTTCTCAAGGCAGAAAGCAGAGAAGGGAAGTGAGCTCTGGCAAGGGCACTCATTCCATCACGGGGCCACATCCAAATGACCTCATCCAATCCCAGTGACCTCCCAAGGGCTCATCTCCTACTACCTTCATGTTAGGGGATGGAGTTTCAACATATGAAGTGGAGGAAGCATGAAAAATCAGACCTTAACACCATCTGAGTGCTTTGAGGCTGCGAGTTTTGAGACGGCAGGTGGATGAGAGAGCACGCAGATTAATGAAAAGATTAAGACATTCAGATCTAACTGACTCAGTTCAGAACTCCAGCTCTTCTTTTCACTGAAGGAATGACCATGGGCAGCCCCCTCACTTCAGAGAGCGCCCATCGCCCCACCTGTAACCTAACAAAGGAGCTTTGGATCATTACCTGGAGTGGTTGCCACTAAGTTAGATGCTGAGAATCTTTCAACAATGCCTAGACTTTGGGAAGACACTGGCTCCATATTTTAGAAAATAAAACTCAAGAGAGTAAAATTCTAAATGAAAACTTTTTTTTAAAGATTTTATTTATTTATTTAGAAGAGATAGAGAGAGAGAGGCAAAGACACAGGCAGAGGGAGAAGCATGCTCCCTGCAGGGAGCCGATGAGGGACTCGATCCCAGGACCCCAGGATCACGCCCTGAGCCGAAGGCAGACGCTCAAACACTGAGCCACCCAGGTGTCTCTCATTTTATTTTATTTTTTAAGTTATAGATTGAGTCATTGTCAATGTGCTTCTTAGAAGGGGCTGCTAATGGTTTGTTGAGGGTATTGAATAGGATTTTATATATTTAACATGTGAGGTTATATATACAACGCAATAGATAAGACTGTATATATAAATACTATAATTTGGCAGCCCTGGTGGCCTAGCTCCCTCCAGGGAGCCTGCTTCTCCCTCTGCCTGTGTCTCTGCCTCTCTCTCTCTCTCTGTGTCTCTCATGAATAAATAAATAAAACCTTTTTTTTAAAAAAAATAAGTAAATACTATAATTTACATGTAAGTGCTTTGAAAACATTGATTTGTTAGGCAAATGGTGCACTGTGGGGCTTCCCAAGCAAAACTATATTTTTTCTTATAAAAAGCCTAGGAAGTTGAGCAAACCAGAAGAAGGGAGACAACCACAGCCTGGTGACCAGACGTGTCTCTTATCAATTGTTTTCCTCCCTTCTCCAGAATCCGAGCTCCATCTCCTTGAGTCAGCAGAATCCTGAGAAGAGATTCCACCTCTCTGAACACTGCCGCCTCTACTTCGGGGCGCTCTTCAAAGCCATCGGCGTGTTTAACAGCACCCTCAGCAACAGCCAGCCCCCCGAGATCTTCATCACGCAGAGCAAGCTGGTCATCATGGTGGGCCAGAAGCTGGTGGACACGCTGTGCAAGGAGACCCAGGAGAGGGACGTGCGCAATGAGATTCTCTGCGGCAGCAGTCACCTCTGCAGCCTGCTCAAGAACCTTGCCCTGGCCACCAAGCATGCCGTGCTCAAGTACCCCAGCCCTGCAGCCCTGGGGCATCTCCAGGCAGAGGCCCAGAAGCTGGAGCAACACACTCGCCAATTCAGAGAGACGTTGGAATGAGCCTCCTCCTCTCTCTCTCTCCCTGCTGACCTCCCAGCCCCAACCTGTGCCACCCTGTCCTATGGGAAAAGCCAGCCGGGGAGGGTGCAGTGATGAAGCTGGTATTACCAAGTGGCTGGCTAAACAACCCCAGGACATTGACTTATCCCATGGACAGCCAGGTAGTAAATAAGGACCTTGCTAAGGTTTTAGCATGGCATGTGGGGTCAGTGTATGAAGTGACGTTGTAGAAACCAGTGTTACATTGGTTGAATGTATACCTGTTTTAAATTCATTCATTCTATGCTTATTTATTGGGCACCTACTATGTGTCAGGTTCTAGGTGGTGGGCATATAGTAGGGAATTAGACAGAGGCCTTGCCTTCAGGAAGCTTACAATCTAGTAGAGAGACAGAAAATAAGTGATGAAGAATTACACGCACGATGTCAGGTGCTAGGAAGACAATAAGGGAGGAAAGACTTATTTTCAAATGATGAATTTCTGTTGCATCCGTTAGCAAATGTAAGTTTTTTATTTTGGACTTAATTAATTCTGTAAGATTTGGTACAAATTATGTATCTGCATCTTACACTATATATATATATATAGAGAGAGAGAATATATATATCCTATTCTATATATATATATAGAATCTATATAATATAGATATCTATCTATATTATAGATAATATATATTATCTATATAATTATATAATTATATATATAATAGGAATATATATATCCTATTCTATATATATATTATCTATAATATAAATATCTATCTATATTATAGATAATATATATTATATAGATTCTATATACATATAGAATAGGATATATATATTCTATTTTATCTTAACCAAGTTAAAGATGCATGCTATATTTAAAACATAACATGTTCTGTTGGGTTCCTCATTAATTTATTTTGTATATAATACTCTATGTTGATAAATTCAGTATGTTTACTCATAAAAGGCTTGTAGTTCAACAGTCTCAGATCTGTGACCTTTTATAACATTATGTAAATATAATCATGAATCGAAACATCCTTTGTAGCAATCCTTTCTTTGGAAGAGTTGGCGATCCATGCCACCCAGGTTCTGGCACCAAAGCAAAGCCACCAGTGTTTACTTTTCTTATTCAAATGCCTCTCCCCAAGGTGCACAAGGAGATGTAGTAGAGGCCAAGCGCTCATGCACAAGGCTAGTACAGCAAAAGCAAAGCCATCACCCATGGTGGTGCAACCAAGAGGTGTAATGTGGACAGGATACTCACTGCTGGGCACGGATCTGAAAGTGGTGCAGAGCTCCCCTCACGTCAAACCACCTCCTCTTCCTCTCCTTGCAGCTGGTTCTTCAGCTCATGTTGCTATGGTTGCACCATCTCTACTTCACCTCAAGTGAAGGCCCGCGTCTCCTTTACGCATCGGCCACTAAACACTTTGGTAGCCTGGAAACAGCATCCTCAGGCTGGAAGGCATCTAAAATGTCACCAGCTCCTGCTCCTGCCAGCTATTCTGCACTTGGCAGGCACTTCGAAATGGTTGACTGTTAGAAGACTGGTTGTTTTCACCGAGTTACTCCTAGGATCTCAAAAGAAGGACCACCATCTTTGTGAGGCTTGTTTGGTTCTCTACACTAGAACAGAGAGGCCACATTCTTTGAACAGCTGTGATCTGTATCGGTTGGGACTCCTTCTAAACCCTATCCAGTCTTTCTTAAGCAATAAAGGAAATGTATTGACTCAAGTATCTAAAAATAACCCAGGGGCAGACTGGCTTCAAGGCCAGCTGATGTGGGTGCCCAGTTTCTCAGCCCCACTTTCTCTGTGCTAAGTCTCATGGTTGCAAGGTGGCTTCCCCAACCTATGCCCTTGGATTGTGGCCCGAAGAGAAGAAAGAGGCTTGATTCTGCTTGGAGTGGCTGCTTGCCCCTGAAAGCCCCACAACAAACAGGGCTTGTAGTACCCAGATTGACCTACACTTGGGATTCACCCCTGTGCTCTCTTGCGCACGCTCTCACTCTCTCTCCCCCCCACTGTGTCTTAAGAGAGGGAAAAGAATAGCCCTGCCAAGAACTATGATATGCTCTAGATCCCTCTGCTTTAAATGAACAAGTTTACCTGCCAGTTTCATGGATGTTGAGAGAAGACACAAGATTCTGGGATCAGAGATCATGTCTGGAGTCCCCAGGATGACCCCTAGGTCCAATGATTTGAAAGGAGGAATCCTAAGACTCAACATTATGTTCATACTCATGGCTATGATCTATTGCAATGAAAGGAAACAGCAAAGGGAAAAAACTCAAAAAGTGCAGGGCGAAGGAATACCAGGTTCAAATGGCCAAGCGTCCTCTCTCCATGGTCACACAGGACCATTTTAATTCCCTCAGCAACAAATTGTGACAGCACCCGTGAGATGTTGCCAGCTGGGGCAGCTCACAAGAGCCTCACATCCAGGGTTTCCATGGAGCTGATCACATAGGCAGCCTCTACATGGCACATTCCCAAATTCCAGACTCTCAGAAGGAAAGCAAGTGTCCAGCATGAACCACATTGTTCGTACAGTTTAGGCATGCTGACCCCTTCTCATCAACTCTGGGGAGGGTGAGAACCCTCCCCAAATCCAAGTTTTCATAAACAACAAGAGGCCAACCTTGCAAGCCAGCCTTTCTAAGGATACTATTCAGGCCTGCGATGTCAACTCTTCTGCCCAGAGGCAAAGGATTTTCCTTACCGCCTTGCCAGCAGCTTATGCTTCATCTTTACATCATTTCCCCCTCACCTCAAGTCCCAGGGCAGAGCAAAGGAAGGCACAGGTGATGCTGTGCACACACTGGGTTTGTGTCAAAGCCAAAGAACTCTGAGCAGAGGCAACCCCAGTCTTTCAAAATGGTCTCTGCACAGACCTGGCCCAGCTTTGCCTCAGAGGGAGACATTATCGTTATTATTCTAGACGGCAAACAAACCTGCCTTTCTGCTCTGGAGGGAGACATTATCTCTGTCTTCCAAGGGTGTTCGCTAAAAACCACCTTGAAGAGGTAATTCAGAACAAAATGGCATCGATGCATCTGTTCAGAGGACACGCAAAAATGCAAGAGGCCCCAGAGAACTGTGTCTCAACAGAGACCCCAACCCAAGTTGGGAATGTTTTTGGAAGAAGGGAAGGGGTGGCTGCAGGAAGGCACCAATACATGTTTACTCTGGATGGCAAGATTATTTTTGCACCATAGGAATAGCAATAGTACATATTTATTAAGTGATTACTACATTCCAGACCCTGTTCTAATTCTTTAGATGTTTTAACTCATTCAGACCTTCATCCGTGAGGGGCTCTAACAGGTAATCAACAGCTCCCCGTTGCCCTCAAAACACTAGAGATGTAGGTATGTAGATAGGTAGGTAGAAAAACATATATGGAGATATATCTGTCTATCTGTACTTTTTTCTGTATATATATGTATTTTTTAAGATTTTGTTTATTTATTCATGAGAGACACAGAGAGAGAGATGCAGAGACACAAGCAGAGGGAGAAGCAGGCTCCATGCAGGGAGCCTGATGCGGGACTTGATCCTGGGACTCCAGGATCACACCCTGAACCAAAGGCAGATGCTCAACTACTGAGTCACCCAAGTGTTCCTTTTCTGGATATATTTTGAGATGATTGTTGACAAAGTACAAAGCCGCTGGGTTGAAAATATTGAAAGTTGCTGCTTTTAGCTAAATTTGTTTCCTTCCCCTTTTTTTTTTTTTTGAAAGAGGGCAGATATGGGATGAGTTTCCACTACCTTGATAGGATAATTGCTCCTGAAAAATATTTAAAAGTAAAATAATATCACTTTTTTTTTAACTTTTAGCACAGTTTTGCTCGGCAGTTTTCTATAATGCCCAGAATTCTGTGCTGCTTCGTCTCAAGGTAGGAAGAGGAAATGGTGGGTGGTGTGGTGGTGCTGGTGGTAGCAACTTGACCTCAATTAAGTTAAATTTCATCAGGAGGATGGAAGTGGTGAGGAGCCTAGTTGAGAGATCTTCCAGTGTGACAAGTAGTAGAGAGCCATGTTTCTGGTTTGGGGGCAACTATTTTTTATAAAACATGTTTTTAAAATTTTATATTCTCCCCAAGTATGCACCCAGGTCTCCAAAAGCTGCCCATTTACAAAAGTTTGTGTAGAGGACTTGCTAATGCCCATTAGTGTAGAGGACTTGCTAATGCCTTTTTCCTTTCATTCGTTCACTGAACAAATATTTATTGAGCATCTCCTATCTACCAGGCCTCTGCTGATCACTAGAGATGCTGCAGGGGACAAAACAAAGGTTCTGCAACTTGCAGCCTTCATTCCAGCTGAGGAGGATGGGAAACCAGGGCCAGGAAAAGGTGAAGTGAGAGGCACTCACCTTGAATAAAAAATGTAGAGGGGCACCCAAACGCTTAGTAATCAAGATAAATTGTATTTTACCTTTTAAAATGCAATCTTTTAAAAATCACAATCAATGCAAAGAAGTCCATGATGAACAAGATATCAAAATTTAAATTTATAATATGAGGTCAGTGGTGGTAAGTGACCACCCCTGAGCAGATGCTGAGTCACTCAGGGAGCCAACCTAGCAAACTACAGGAAAAGAGAGTTCCTGGAGAGGGAAGAGCAGGGCAAGGCCCAGAAGTGGAAGCATACCTGCAAGCTCTCAAGGGACAGAAGGGGCCAGTGTGGCTGGAACCAAGAGAGGAAGGGAAAGTGGGTGACATGAGATGAAATGGGTAGCCTGAGGCCAAATCATGCAAGGCCTGTCTACTCCTGAAATGTGTTTAACATTTCCCTAAAACTGCAAATTAAAAGTTATTTTGCGGTGGGAGGGGGAACAGCCTGGGTGGCTCAGTGGTTTAGTCCTGCCTTCAGCCCAGGGCCTGATCCTGGAGACCCGGGATCGAGGTCCCATGTCAGGCTCCCTGCAGGGAGCCTGCTTCTCCCTCTGCCTATGCCTCTGCCTCTCTCTCTCTCTCTCTCTCTCTTTCTCTCTCTCTGTATCACTCATGAATAAATAAATACAATCTTTAAAAAAAATAATTAATAAAAACTGATGTCAAGTACTAACAAGGATGCAGAGCAACCGAAACTCTCATAACTGTTGGTGAAAATGCAGAATTGGGACACCCAGGTGGCTCAGTGGTTGAGCATCTGCCTTGGGCTCAGGGCATGATCCCGGGGTCTTGGGATCGAGTCTGCATTGGGCTCCCTGCAGGGAGCCTGCTTCTCCCTCTGCCTGTATCTCTGCCTCTCTCTGTGCCTCTCATGAGTAAATAAATAAAATGTTCTTTTTACAAAAAGATCCTTGTAAGGAAATAACCTGTTACCAGTTCATTCAGCAAAAGCAGTGGAAATAGCAGCTAAGGACACCAGTGTGTCTACTGTGCCCACAACAAAATGTCTCAAATCATGTAAAGCCCTGAATATAGCATCTGATACTCAGCCAACCCTCAATACAAATTACTTGTTATTGATGATTTTAACTCTACAAAAGCTTAAGCTGTGCATAGGCACAGACTTTATAGACACAGAGTAGCCTAAAAAACAACAACAACAGGGATCCCTGGGTGGCGCAGCGGTTTAGCGCCTGCCTTTGGCCCAGGGCGCGATCCTGGAGACCCCGGATCGAATCCCACGTCAGGCTCCCGGTGCATGGAGCCTGCTTCTCCCTCTGCCTGTGTCTCTGCCTCTCTCCCTCTGTGTGTGTGTGACTATCATAAATAAATAAAAATTAAAAACAACAACAACAACAACAATATTCTAAATGAGGAAACCAGGGAGGAAGAGAGAAAAAACATTCAGCTGCCCAAGCTTCAACGCCCACCCAGTTGGCACTGCTGGGTGTTGCAGCAGCTTTCAGGGAGAAGTTAAGGAACGTGGCATTGGTAGTCACATGGGCCTCATTTGAGAAAGCCTCTCATCTTGTACTCCTTTTACTCAACCGCTGTGTGCCCCTGACCCGAGACACCTTGTACTACACCTCAATCGCAGTTTTGTCATTTGGAAGATGGAAGGCATGATATCCCCAACCTCCTAAATTGTGAAGACAGAGGAAACCATGCCTCCAAATCTCCCGGGCACAGTCATGGTTTAATAAAGAATGGTTATTTTTATTTTAATTTCTCCAAACGAAGTCGGTGGGGGGAATATTTAGTCGCCAGAAAAGAGCACGGGTTTGAGAGTCTGTCTGAAGGCCTTCACGTTCATGCTACTCTGTACCTGGTTTTCTGTCGTTTGGGGGAGAAAACTAATCTTGCAATCCAGTCCCAGCTCTCCCTCTTACTAGCCGCGGGACCTTGGGCAAGTCCTTTGATCTTTCCAGGCTTCTAGTCCCTTACTTGCAAATGGATTTTCATGGCACTTATCAGTTTTAGGGGCTGCCCAAACTGGACGTGAATGTGTCTGTACTTCCTTTTTGGTTGATTGAGGAAATGACCATTGAGTGTGCCAAAGGCTCTTCCATGCACTGAGGATATAATAGAGATGAAAATGAAGCCCCCACTTCACAGAGTTAACAATTTCTCTAGCTGGCATAAAAATACATCCTAAGGCTGTAAGAGACCAACCGATTAAAGAATTTACTTTCTTTTAATTCCCATTAATTGCAGGAACAGATAATCCAATGTTACAATCTATGAAGTTTTCATAGCCACATATTTTCTGTTCCCAACTGGGGAATATTTTCAGGGTTGTTTTTCTTTTTCTTTCTTTTTTTTTTGGTCTTTGGGGTTTTTTTTTCGTTTTTACATCTCACTTTGGGTCAGCAAGGTAGCATACACTTAGGTAGGTTGACTAAGTGGTTGACTCCACTCCCTGTGGTTGACCTTCCCCTAATGGCTATAATAATTAAAGGAACAAGTAGAAAGATGGTCAAGAGCATGAAAGTAGACAGCCATGGATTTTAGCAGGGGGGCCGCAAGGGATCTGTGCTGTCGTTCCGAAGTAATACAGCCTGTGTCTTGGAAAAGGCAGGTTGACATCCGTGCGGCTCTCATACCTGCCTCTCTTCACTCACTATACTTGCTTTTAAATAACTCCATATAAAAAAATAATAAATAAATAAATAATAAATAAATAAATAAATAAATAATAAATACCTCCATAAAAGAGGAGGCTGTGACTCCAATACATGCAGGCACAGCATGTATTTGCTTTGCAGCATTTCCTCTGTGGACCGGACCGCGGCATTGCCAAAGTTGCAGGCCCTACACAGACAGCGGTACCTCCCGTGCACCTCCTGCAACAGCCTTCACAGGACTGTCGTGAGCTCCGAAGTCACAGGGGTGCTCCCTAAGAAGTTCTCGTGTAAACACCTAATCGTTAGCGGGAATAACAGGCGCCGTCACATGCACCGTTGATTGAACTAAGAAAATGCAGCCCTTTCCCTCGCGGTCCCGGGATGTGCCGCACCGAGCGCCAGGCACCCGGGGCGGGTGACCCCTGTGTCACCCCTGCCCCCGAAGCGCGGCGAGCGACCTCCACGGTGCAGCCGAGACCCTGCACCCTGCGCCCACCGGAAAGCAGGAAGGGACCTGCGGGGGCCCGGGAGACCGGGGCGCTCCGCCAGCCCCGCGCGCGCGAGCACAGGCCGGCGCTCCCGCACCCCGCGCCGCGGGGGCCTCCCCGGCCCAGCGCCTAGCGACGCTCTCCATGGCAACCGGAGCTTGGCAACGGACCCGCCCCGCTGCGCGCGAGGGGCGCCTGCGTCATCCGGGCGCGCCGGAAGTGACTGCCGCAGTCGCCAGGGGCTCGCCAGGGACTTCCGGAAGTGGCGGCTGCGGGGTGTTGCTGCCGGCTCGGGCTCCCGGCTCGCGATGGGTTGCGACGGAGGAACAATCCCCAAGAGACACGAACTGGTCAAGGGGCCGAAGAAGGTTGAGAAGGTCAGCGACGTGGGTCCGGGGGGGCCCGGCGGGCGTGGGGTGTCCAGGGAGCGAGGGGCGGTGGGGGTGGGGCCAGCGGGGCTCCGGACGCCGCCCGCCGTGCTGGTCGGGGGAGACTCAGAGTTGACAGCGGGACTGCTGTCAGACCCCGCCCGGCGCTCGCTCTTAATAATGCGGGGTGGCCCCTACGTTCTCACAGCAGCCCGTGGGCACGCACTGTCGTTGCCCCGTCGCTTTTCAGACGGAGAAATCGAGGGCCCGGAGGACACAGCTGCAGGGCCGGGACTTGAAGACTGGCTGCCGCTGGTCGCCGTGAGCGGACGGCTGCTGCTCCTTGAGCCTGGTGCACGCGGGACCTCATTTTCTCCCAGAGGTCCCCTTATCCACACGAGCTCGGGTCCTAACCACCTGACTCCCCTGCACCCTGCCTTCGTGGTTGATCAGTGTCGGTCACAGAGGCAGGTGAGCTTCCCGGAGCAAAGTCTGTCTGTCCGTCCCCTGCCGCTAGCACGGGCCCTGGCCCAGTGAGCTCGGTGAGTACGTGAACGAGCCGGCGGTGTTCAGAGAAGATCGCATGTGATGATCTCCGTGCTGCTAACAGGGGGATTGAGTGAGTGGCGTGATCAAGATCACAGAACGGACAGATAATGAAGCCAGGATTTCCAGCCAGTTTTTAAGATTTTATTTATTTATTCATGAGAGAGGCAGGGACACCGGCAGAGGGAGAAGCAGGCTCCACGCACGGAGCCCAGCGCGGGACTCGATCCCAGGACCCCAGGACCACACCCCAGGCCGAAGGCAGGCGCTCAACCGCTGAGCCATCCAGGGATCCCAACTTCCAGCCATCTATTCAGGAATTCAAAGTCAGCATTAGTAATTATTTTTTTAATGCTTTATTTTTAAAATTATCTCTACGACGACCGGGGCGCCTAGGTGGCTCAGCGGTTGAGGGTCGGCCTTCGGCTCAAGTCGTGACCCTGGGGTCGAGTCCCGCATTGGGGTCCCTGCAGGGAGCCTGCTTCTCCCTCTGCCTGTGTCGCTGCCTCTCTCTCTCTCTCTCTCTCTCTCTCTGTGTCATGAATAAATAAATCTTAAAAAAAAAATCTCTATGACCATCATGGGTCTTGAACTGGTGACCTCAAGATCAAGTCATGTGATCTACCAGCTAAGCCAGGTGCCCCATGTTAGTAATTACTTGTTTTTTAAAAAAGACTTTTTATTTATTTTTTATTTTTTTAAGGTTTTTAAATTTATTTATCTATTCATGATAGACAGAGAGAGAGAGGCAGAGACACTGGCGGAGGGAGAAGCAGGCTCCCTGCGGGGAGCCTGACATGGGACGGGATCCCAGGACCCAGGATCATGCCCTGAGCCGAAGGAAGATGCTCAACTGCTGAGCCACCCAGGTGCCCCCCCCCCCCGCCCGTAATTGCTTTTTAATAACAGAAGGCATGTAAAAGATCTGATACGGTGCCTGGCACATGTGGGTGTTCCATATATTCTCCCTTCAGCAACTAGAGAAATCTTTTTAAAAGTAAATCTCACATATCACTACTATATTTAAAATCCTCCAGCTTTTTGTCGTATTCAGAACAAAATCGCACAAAGTCCTGTGTGATCAGATGCCTTGCCTGTCTTTCCACCTCATCTTCTACCCCCTTCCAGGTCTTTCATCCTTTTCTCATCCTTTTCCAGTCGTACAAGCCTTTTGTTCCTCAGCCTGGAGTATACTTTCCACAACCTGATAATGTTCTTTGCTGAGATATTCATTTCTTTACTTCATTCAGTTCTTTCCTCAGATGTCATTTCAACCCCACTGTTGCCAAAATACATGTCACTTCCAGTTGTTCTCTATCCTCTTTTGCTGCTTTCCTTTTCTTTATAGAGCTTATCGTTGTTCTCGTTTGTTTATTGTTTGTCTTTCTCCAACGTGAGCAGAGACTTTGCGTGTCTTACCTCTGCCCACACAGTAGACGCTTAGTAAATGTGTTGAATGTGGTAATGAGCACTCAAGAGGATGGAGTGTGCCCTCCACTCATACCTACATATACATACACTAATGGTAGATGGTTAACACTCATGAGAGCTCTTGCCAAAAAAGTATTCAGCTAATTTTGTTAACTTGTGGCTAGGACTGAAGAGGAGCAGCTTAATGAAAAGCTTGGGAAGGTGTCAGTAGGGGGTAGAAAAAAGAAAGAGTGATCTGAGACAACCAGAGTGCTCAGGCATGATGGATTTTTGTTAACTTTATTTATTTAACAAATATTTTATTAAATGCTTACCTTAGACACCAGTCTAGACCCTGGGGACACAGCAGTGAACATTGTCCAGCCTTTGCATTGCTTACATTTCAAATAGATACAAAATTTAAAAAACACAAATAGATACATAATAACGTGTAATATTTTTGATCACTCGTGTGGTGTTTGGTCTGACAAAACTATTGCTGTAGTTCAAGGCCTTGCTCTGAAAAGAAGAGAGACCTTGGTTTAAAAAAAAAGGATTTCAGAAGTTTTGTGGGGTTGCTAATTTTTAAATCTCTGGGTATAAGGATTAGTTTAACACTTTTCTCCCTATCCCCAGTTCTCCCGGTTATTTTTTGAATCACCAAAGGACTATGGGTAAAGCAGGTGAGGCTTCCAGAAAGTAGACTTACTTAATGTGGTTTTTTTTGACTTTGCAAAGGGTATAGAAAATCGAACTTTACTAAGGTTTTTCTTAGGGCTTGGCTGCATTGTGAATTTTGATAAAAGCTGTTGAAGCTGCCAAAATGTGGCTCTTAGATCTGGGGTGTGGATAGAATAACAGTTATAGTAATGTGGGCTTTGTTCTATTTTTTTCTGTTTTGTTCTGTTTGAAATAATAGAAAAGCAATATAAAGTAGTGATTAAAAGCATGGTCTCAGGGCAGCCCGGGTGGCTCAGCGGTTTAGCGCCACCTTCAGCCCAGGGCATGATCTTGAAGACCTGGGATTGAGTCCCACGTCGGGCTCCCTGCATGGAGCCTGCTTCTCCCTCTGCCTGTGTCTCTGCCTTTCTCTGTGTGTGTCTCTCACGAATAAATAAATAAAATCTTAAAAAAAAACAAAACAAACAAACAAACAAAAAAACATGGTCTCAGAGGTACAGTAGGTTAAGCATCTGACTGACTCTTGGTTTCAGCTCAGGTCATGATCTCAGGGTTGTGGGATCAAGCCCTGTATTGGCCTCCGCCGTTACTGCAGAGTCTGCTTGAGACTCTCCCTCCCATACTTCTCCCCCGTTCTCTTTCAAATAAATAAATAAAATCTCAAAACAAAATAAAACAGCCTGCTTGGGTTTTTATTTTAGCTCCTTCATCTACTTGCTGTGAAACCTTGGACATGTAACCTAACTTCTTGGTACCTCCAGCTCCTCAGTAACAAAGTAGAAATAATAAGTTATTGGATTTTTATGAGGGCTAAAAGATCAAGTCACGGAAACTGTTTAGCACAGCACTTGGCACTCAGTAAACACTTAAGCAGTTGTTACTACAAAAAGTAAATTTAAGGGAATTTTCCCACATTTTCTTTCTCTCTTCCTATTTCTCCCACTTGGGCCATCCTATTATATTCAGGTTTGGCATTCTAGGAGGGGAAGAGTGAGATATAGAATATTACATAGGTGAGATATCATTTGAGGGCAATTAGAAGGTCTTGTGTTTGGATTTTAATAGTTTGGGTAAGGATTTCATATGCCCCCTGATGAACAGGGTTAAATTGATGATTTTTTTATAAAGAAGTTTATAGTCTTTTGCTGAACTTTTTAAGAAAATATATCTATTTTCTAAAATTCTTAATCTTTAAAATCAGCAAAAACTTTAGAGCCTTTCCCATTGACAGAAATGAACCTGTATTGCTTATTTTTTTCTGTATGGACTCTCTAACTTATTGTTAAGATACAAATATTAGGGGCACCTTTGGCTCAGTCAAAGAACATGTCTCTTGATCTCGGGGTCATGAGTTCAAGCCCCACATTGGGTGTAGAGATTTATTTAAAAAATAAATAAATAAAACAAGATAGTGATATTTACGTGAAGCTTTCATAAGCAACTTAATGTCTTGATGTGAACTGTTCTGTTGTAGGTGTCACATGTGGAGGGAACTTTATTTGACATGGTAGTAGTTACTTTGACTTTTTAAGTCCCAGCTTCATATGTCACTGTCTATGATATAAAAGACAAAAATCATCACCTGTGGTATTACTGAATAAGCCTTTATATGTAGAACTGTGGACCGTATGTCTTTCAGAGCTGAAAGTTAATTGAAAGGATTTTTTTTTTTCTTTTCTTAGGTTGACAAAGATGCTGAACTAGTGGCGCAGTGGAACTATTGTACTCTAAGTCAGGAAATATTAAGGCGACCAATAGTTGCCTGTGAACTTGGCAGGTATGGTTCTTTTTACTTAATTGAGATGAATTTTTATTAACTAATTTTTTAAAGAATTTTAATGTGGCAAAAAAGAATTTTAAATACAGTTCTTGATTCATGAGATGTGAATTATCTCAAACTTACGAAGTCTGAGTTGTTATTCCCTGTCTCTGAACATACTTCTGCATTTTTCTATTTTGTTTGGTGTACTTACTTAATCCATGATCTGAAAATTCAGGGCCCAATAAGAGCTGAATGATAAACATAAATGCATGAAGGAGCAATGTGGGGTAGTAGAGAATGGTGGGGACTGTAGGAAAATGGGGAGTTCATGTCCTGTCTCAAAGGGTGGCTACTACTTATTTCCAGCCAGGTGTTACATACAGTTCCAGAATGTGGGCCTATTGCTTCCAGAACTTCTGATTGTTTTTCCCAGGAAAAGTTGAAAATGGTGTACTTCTCTATTAAATTTCCCAATTTTTAAGATCCTATTCAGATCACATTAAGACTGCCAGTTTGCAACCCTTGATTTAAACTAGTTTCTTGGGGCACCTGGGTGGCTCAATCAGTTAAGCTTCTGCCTTCAGCTCAGGTCATGATCCCAGGATCCTGGGATTCAGGCTCGCATTGGGCTCTCTGCTCCGCGGGAAATCTGCTTCTCCCTCTCCCTCTGCTGCTCCCCTGCTTGTGCTCTTTCTGTCTGTCAAATAAATAAAATCTTTTTTGTTTTTTTTTTAAAGATTTTATTTATTCATGACAGGTGCAGAGAGAGAGAGTCAGAGACATAGGCAGAGGGAGAAGCAGGCTCCATGTGGGGAGCCCGATGTGGGACTTGATCCCTGGACTCTGGGATCACGCCCTGAGTCAAAGGCAGACGCTCAACTGCTAAGCCACCCGGGCATCGCTAAATAAAATCTTTAAAAAAAACAAAACAAAACAGAACTAGATTCTTTCTTTGTATGCTCTGGAAATAGTTGAGGCAGGATTTAATTTACTTTTTTAAAAATGCAGGGCATTTCTGTTATCAAATGTAAATTACTTTGGATTGTAGTGAATTTATTCTTACTCCTTTGTGTGGAGTAAGAATAAATTAAGGTTCTTAGTATATTAAGAACTCCTTAATATATTGATGGTTTTTCACAGAATGTTGCCAGAATGTTTTGACTAATCCTTATTGTTGCAGACTTTATAACAAAGATGCTGTCATTGAGTTTCTATTGGACAAATCTTCTGAAAAGGCTCTTGGGAAGGCCGCATCCCACATTAAAAGCATTAAGGTAAGACCAGTGATTCTGAAGTTCTCCAAGGGTCTCAGTGGTTAGTGTTTATTTTATAGAATTCATGTACTTTATAGACTGAACTCAGAAATTTGGAATTCCATTCCTACCCAGCCGCCTAATAATAAGTGTGATCTGGGGCAGGTCATGTAAAGCTCAAGCCAGAAGTTCCCACACCGGTCCTTCTGCCTTAAACGTCTGTTATAATTTAATATGTGCAAAAGAGGTTCGAAAACTCTTAATATGAGGAATAAATATTTGGGAACTTTTTTTGTAGTTAAAACTCAGCGACTTGAATTTCTGATTTGGAATACACCTAAAGAATTACCGTTTTTATAGGGAGATCACTTGTTAAATCTGTGTGGTATCTCCAACTAGACATTCTGATTGGCAGTTAAAATTCTTTTATAAAAATGGAAAAACAAATTTTTCACTAAAAGAGGTTGGTTGAGAGGACAAAATCTTGCAAATCTGGTCAATGGGAGAAAAATCGGAAAAGCGTTAGAGAATTTGAGGACCATCAAGCTTATCAAACACTTCATCTCACAGGTGAGAATGCTCACTCTCCATGACTTTTTGAGGCTACACAGTTAATCAGGCACCTAAACCAGAATCAGAATTCCTAACTCCCTATATAAGGCTTTGGATTTTTTTTCTTTTCTTTCTTTGTAAATTTTTTATTCTATTAGGCTTTTTGTTTGAATTCTTGGATTGATTACAGGATGCAAAACATGTTAATTTCAGGCAAATTAGTAATTCTGAAATGTAGCTAAAGTAGTGCTTCAGAAGTAACCATCCTGATTTTTGTCACCCTTTATCTTGGGAAGAGAATTCATTCTTAAAACACCCATGGTAGCACAATTATTTTATTTCAAAAAAGTGATTATCATTGAAATTAATTTATGCAATTCTATATTGAAAATAATATTCAATGTATATGATTGAACTTTTAATGCAAAAAAAAACTTCAAGAAATCGGAACTTTTTTTTTTTAAGATATTATTTGTTTATTCATGAGAGACACACACAGAGAGAGAAGCAGAGACACAGGCAGAGGGAGGAGAAGCAGGCTCCATGCAAGGTGTCTGATGTGGGACTGGATCCCGGGATCACGCCCTGAGCCAAAGGGCCACCCAGGCGTCCCCGAAATCAGAACTTTTAAGCAGAGAATTCAAATAAAACAATGCTAGTAGCAAAATGATCATTACCGTGAATTAATAGCCCACAAATACTCTTGAGTGGAGAACTTGATGAGACACCTGGTGGCTAGCTGTCAACCATGAAGTTGACCGTACCAGGGTGGCTTTCCTTTCGAGGCACTCTGCTGCTCTCTGGGGTGCTGAAAACAAAATGGTACAATTAAATGTCAAGAAGTGTTCAAATGCTAAAGTGGAGCCATTAGATCACTCCTTGTGAAGGTGAGTTTTTGAGAACCTGAATAGCCAGATCTTGGAATATGGAAGTATTCTCTGGCTAATGTTCTGCCTTGGGCTCATTAGACTGTTGGCCTCATAGATTTTACAGTCTGTCCAACTATTAAATAAACAAGGGTAGCAATAATATGGAGCAGCCTTAGTGAGGATTCATTCACAGAGAAAGGAAGTGTTCCTTTCTGGATAAAACGAATACAGAATGTTCGCTTAGTGGAGTTATTTTTCATGTCCAAAGTTACTTTTTTAGGGATGCCTGGGTGGCTCAGCAGTTGAACGTCTTCCTTTGGCTCAGGGCCTGATCCTGGATTTCCAGGATCGAGTCCCGCATCAGACTCCTTGCATGGAGCCTGCTTCTCCCTCTGCCTGTGTCTCTGCTTCTCTCCCTCTGTCTCTCTCATGAATAAATAAATTAAATCTTAAAAAAAAAAAAAAAAAAAAAACAGAAACCAAAAAAAAAAGTTACTTTTTTAAATAGCAAAATATTGACAAAGTGGAAATTAATCACTTGCCAGCCAGTGAATTTTAAAAGTCCTGTTTTTTTATCACAATTTATGGTTTAACTTTTTCATCCATGTTACAATTGGTGGTCAAAGGAAGTAGCTAGGAAGATCAGGTTTGGATGTGAAATTCTGAACTGGAATAATTTAGGTGGTTAATTTAGGTGGCTATTGAAGCTAAGAATGATCCCTTAATCAGATGAATTCTTAATATATTGATGGTTTTTCACAGAATGTGACAGAACTAAGACTTTCTGATAATCCTGCCTGGGAAGGGGACAGAGGAAACACAAAAGGTGACAAACATGATGACCTCCAGCGGGCACGTTTCATCTGCCCCGTCGTGGGCTTAGAGATGAATGGCCGGCACAGGTCAGTAACGGACGTGGGGCAGACGGCGTGTGGTCTGGTTAGAGAATACTGGTGCTGTTTTGTCCTGTAGCTTTATGATCACACAGTCTTTGTTAAAGAGTGCTTTGTTTTGGGTCGTGCGTAGGGCAGAAGTGCTGGATGTCTGTAAGGTGGCATCCAAGTCCACCCAGCTTGGTGTCTGTGCTTTCTGTTCTTGAGAATAGGAGCACCTGAAGTAAATAGAGGGATTTAAAAAAATTTCCAGTGTGACACTTAACAAGACTTGAATAGGGGCAGCCCTGGTGGCACAACGGTTTAGTGCCGCCTTCAGCCCAGGGCGTGATCATGGAGACCCGGGACTGAGGCCCAGGTCAGGCTCCCAGCGTGGAGCCTGCTTCTCCCTCTGCCTGTGTCTCTGCCTGTCTCTGTGTCTCATGCATAAATAAATAAAATCTTAAAAAAAAAAAAAAAGACTTGAATAGGATTACTTGGTCTTTCCCTATGGGAAGCAAAGCAGAAAACAAATGGTGCCTGTAAGACAACTCCCATTTCTTTTTTTTTTTTTTTTGAAAGATTTATTTATTTATTCATGAGACACACAGAGAGAGAGGCAGAGACACAGGCAGAGGGAGAAGCAGGCTCCAAGCAGGGAGCCCGGTGTGGGACTCGATCCTGGGCCTCCAGGATCACGCCCTGGGCTGAAGGTGGTGCTAAACCACTGAGCCACCTGGGCTACCCCCTGTTTCTTTCTAATTGTGGAAAACAATATCCCTGAGCATGTGGTCGCTCTGTCAGCTAAAACCCAGCTGATAAAGGTAACTTGCTTTGAAGTTGTAGCGACCAGATCCTCTGACTAGGGTACCAGTAATCATAAGGTCAAGAGTTCTATAGCAAATGTAAGCAACTCGTATGTTTCTGCCTTAAAAAATATGAATATTGAATGGGTTATCAGGTGCCTTTTTATAGGATGTGTCAGTAAGTCAAAGCTTCCAACTTTTTTCCCACCATTTAGAAATAACCTTTAGTAACTGGTGGTCCCACCTGCCATCTCATGGAATCTTCCATCTAACATATTACTTGTTGGAAAGTAGTACTTTGTTTTACTGTTTTCATTCAGGAAACAGGGGTGGGGGTGAGACGGGGAGTATCTCAAGTAAGTAAAAACTTTCATTGAGTTATAAACAGCCACATTGACTCTGGAGCATTCTGGCACATTTATGCATATCCACTTAATGGATATGTGTATGCTGTGCGTGGCAAACTGCCCGAGAGTGTAACCAGCATGCTCTGGAACGGAATAGCCGCCTGTGGCTTTGTGGCCTTGGAGAGAAGTAAAATTTTAGCCCCAAGGAGCATGTAAAGGTTACATTCTTCAGACCATTTGACTTTAAATCATTTAAGCCTCTCAAAGTTTCCAATTTAGTGGTAACTCTCTGAGGTGGTGGATATGTTAATTGGCTTGATAGTGACGATCGTTTCACAGCGTGTTTATATATCAAATCATCAAGTTGTACGCTCTAAATATATACAATTTGTGTTGGTCAGTTGTACCTAAATAAAGCTGAAAGAAAAAGTAATTAATTAAAAAGCTAAAGTTCTGGGGAAGCAGACTAATGTACCTAGCTTTGTCCCACTTTTGTGTGTGGTTCTGTATGTGGTGTATGCACGCACCATTTCGAGGTGAAAGTTGTAACATGAAAATGACCATTTTGGGCAGCCTGGGCGGCTCAGCAGTTTAGCCTGCCTTCAGTCCGGGGCCTGTTCCTGGAGTCCCGGGATCGAGTCCCACGTCGGGCTCCCTGCATGGAGCCTGCTTCTCCCTCTGCCTATGCCTCTGCCTGCCTCTCTCTCTCTCTCTCTCTCTTTCTCTCTCTCTCTCTCTCTCTCTGTCTTTCATGATTAAATAAATAAAATCTTTTTTTAAAAAATGACCATTTTAAGGTGTACACATCAGGGGTGTTTGGTACAACCACAGTGCTAGGCAGCCCACACCTCCGTCTGGTTCCATTTTCTCCATTGTCCTCACCTCAAAGGAAAAGTCCCTAGCCATGGAGCAGTCCTCCACATACCTCCACCCCCAGCCCCTGGCTACCACCAGTCTGCTGGCTTCATGGATTTGCCTGTTCTGGAGATTTCCAATGTATAGAATCACTCAGTATTTGACCTTTTGTGTCTGGCATCCCACTTCTTTTTAAGAAAACCATGGTTCACCCCAAAAGAGGAACTTAGAAACAGACTCAATCTGGGGTCTTGAGGAGGGGTTCCTTGTACACAGCCTGTTGCTCTGATTGTGGGTTCTCTAGTTTTTCCCTTTTATTCGCTGGTTATTCTCCTCTCTTCTCTCTTCCCCATCAAATGAGCTTTGCCTGTTTTGGCTCTGCCCTCCTGCTATTAATAGGGCCTCCACACTGCAAAATTGATTTGAAAGTTACTTCATACATTTAGTAAGTTTTTTTTTTTTTTTTAAAAAGAGATTTTATACATTTATCCATGAGAGACACAGAGAGAGAGAGGCACAGGCACAGGCAGAGGGAGAAGCAGGCTCCATGTAGGGGACTCGATCACGCCCCGAGCCCAAGGCAGACGCCCAACCACTGAGCCACCCAGGTGTCCCTATTAAAGTTTACACAATGAAGATTTAAATACAGAGAAAAATGGAAATAAATGACTAGTGTAATGAAAACATTGAGCCTTTATTTAAAAAGAAATAATTTTCAAGGTGCCTGGGTGGCTCAGTTGGTTAAGGTCATGATCCCAGGGTTCTGGGATTGAGTCCTGCATCCTGCTTCCTGCTCACCAGGGAACCTCCTTCTCCCTCTGCCCCTCACCCTGCTCGTGCTCGCACACACACTCTCTCTCTCTCTCTCTCTCTCAAATAAATAAAATATTTTTTAAAAAAATATCATTTTCTAAATTACTAATAATCATCCATAAAATAGGATTTTTTTTTTTTTGGTCCTAAGTAACAGTAAATGAATGTAGTGTTATTAATTGGGTCTTTGTTATGGCAATCTGTATCCACTACAATCCCTAGAGAATTGGTGAGAATTTCTGTTGTGGCATTTTTTTTTTAATTTTTTTTTTTTATTTATTTATGATAGTCACAGAGAGAGAGAGAGAGAGAGAGAGAGAGAGAGAGAGAGAAAGAGAGGCAGAGACACAGGCAGAAGGAGAAGCAGGCTCCATGCACCGGGAGCCCGATGTGGGGATCCCGGGTCTCCAGGATCGCGCCCCGGGCCAAAGGCAGGCGCCAAACCGCTGCGCCACCCAGGGATCCCTGTTGTGGCATTTTTAGAGGAATATATAGTCAGATGTGCACGTGATTTTTGCCCCTTTCCCGCAGTCCCTGCCTCCAGTGGCAGTGGACTTAGTTGTTTGGAGTTTAATGCCCCCTACAGACCTGCCCAATACCAACACGCATACTCTGCACTTCCCTGTAGAAGTGCATTAGAAATACAAATAAACAGCGTTCTTCCCACAGTCATGGAAACATACATATCTTGCAACCTCTAAGAGATGGTCAAAAAAGTGATTCTTTCTTTGATACTGCAAATTGTCCCACTGAGACACACCATGTGGTGTCTGCCACCAAGACTCGCCTGTTTCCTCCTTTTCCAGCTTCAGCCTCTCTCACTACCACTGGCTATGTAAAACATGGCACATCGTTGTTTTGCAGTGAATTTCTTTAATTAACAGTTGAGGTTAAGCATCTTTTATAGGTTTTGGCTATTTATCTTTTTCCTGTGTGAATGCCTTTGCCCATTTTTCTAATATATTGCTTATTTTTGCTTTTTGAGACCTTTTTCTATATTCATAAACACTGAATCTCTTACATATTTAAGATATTTTCTCCCAGAGTTCCTATTCTGTCTTTTGACTTTTTTTTTTTAAGATTTTTTTTTTATTTATTCATGAGAGACGGGGGGTGGGGGTGGGAGCAGCGGGGGAGAGGCACAGACACAGGCAGAGGGAGGAACAGGCTCCACCCCGGGAGCCTGACACGTGACTCGATCCCGGGTCTCCAGGATCACACCCTGAGCTGAAGTCGGCACTAAACCGGCACTAAACCGCTGAGCCACCCGGGCTGCCCCCGTCTTTTGACTTTTTATGTTTGTAGGGTTTTTTAATTTATTTTTTGTAGAAGGGACTTTATTCTAAAGGATTATTACAGGGGAGCAGGAATAGGACTGTGGCCTATATTTCTGGTTTTTATATATGTGTGTATATATATATATAAAGTAGCATATAGATATATATGGGACGTGTTAATTTTTTTCCTTTAAATCAGATGTGACCATTTTTTTCTTTGTACTTCTTGGCCTTTGTACAAACTGGACAAATGTTAACTGATAGTCTGGGTGATCATTTTTAAATTATTTAAGTCATCCTCCATTTTGGATTATTTCTCCAGGTTTTGCTTCCTGCGGTGCTGTGGTTGTGTGTTTTCTGAGCGAGCCTTGAAAGAGATAAAAGCAGAAGTTTGTCACACAGTGAGTTGTTGACATATATCATTTTTTCCGTCTTGGTAGCTGAGGAAATCAGGTGGTTTAGGGTCCCTCCCTTCATGTGATGTTTCAACATCCTTCAATTCTTTCTGAAACACAGATCTCATTAGTTGTTTCTCTGCTTAAAACCCTTCCGTGGCTCAAGCTTGCTGGATGTAGATTCACACTGCCTTCTGTGACCTGTCCCTGGCGGCCTGTCCGGCACAGGCCAAGCTCGGGCCACGCCCTGACCCCTCTTCTGTGCCTTTGTTCCCTCAGCCCTAACCTGCTGCATGACCCAGAAGGTCATGTCCCCCGTAAACCTTAGTTCCAGAGCATTTGCTTCCTCTGTAAACCCCTGCTGCCAAGCCTCCTTCCCCATTCCCTGGGTACCTTGTTATTGAACTGATCTCATCAGAGTGTAATTGCTAGTTATGTGATGATTTCCCCACTGGACTGGGTCGGTTGTTTTTTTTTTTTTTTTTTTTTTCCTTTTTTGTTTTCTGTAAGACTTTATTTTTTAGAGTAGTTTTCACAGCAAAATTAAGAGAAAAGTAAGGTGTTTCCCCTATTCCTTCTGCCTCCCCCTGCTTAGGACAGGGCCAGCCTCTGTCCTAAGCAGCATATTGTGGGATGACTTAAGGGATAAGATTGATAGAGCCCTTGCTTTCATGGAACCCACAGTCCAGTTGGAGAGAGTGGCACTCAGATAGCTGAGCAAGGCAGCTGCAGTTGTGACAATGCTAGGAAGGAGACACAGGGTGATGTCCCTTAGGGAGAAAGGCTGCCATAGTGGTGGTTGGCAAAGGCACCTCCAGAGGTTTGAGCTGACCTGAAGGGTGGAAAGGAGGAGCAAAAGCTTTGAAGTAACAGAGGACTTGGCTAGTGTAAGGAACAGAAAGTGTGGTGGAGGAGTGGCCAGTGGAGGGAGAAGTAGGAAAGACAGGTTAGGTAGGGGTCACTTCATACAGGGCCCAGCAGGCCACATTGGGGCTCATGGATTTTATTCTAAGAACAGTGGGAAGGAATGCAGAGGGCAGCTTTAAAGTGGACTCGATGTACTTTAGTTTGAAAATGGTCCCTCTGTAAAAGAAACCAGATGCAGAGGATGACACCCAGAGCATTTCCATTTATTTGGGATGCAAAGACAAGCCAAAAGTAATTGTTGGTGAGGAAGTTTGCTGAGAGGCATGGAGTTGTTTCCATTTTGGGGTGATTGTGAATAAAGCCATCACAGAATTTGGCATCTGTCTCATTGAGCTTTTATAAAAGAAAAGAAATTCACGGAATGCATTCAGAAATTGACTTATGTCATTTATTTATTCACCACTGTTTATTACATCTTCTGTATGAAAGGTGAAGTGGCAGGTACTCCAAGGGCAAAGAGTTGACATAGTCCCTGCACTCAACGAGAGACTGTAGTCCTACAGGAATCCTAAGTTATATGAAAAATCATGTTGTTGGGGTTTTTTTTGTTTGTTTGTTTGTTTGTTTTTGTTTGTTTTGAGGCCAGCTACCATGTGGATGACAAAGATATTGTTTAAATTCAGGGGCCTGAGAACTTTGTTTTGACTGTGCTGGTGAGCAGTGGCTTTATGAAGGAGGAGATGTTCATTCTAAGCCTTCAAGGCAGAGCATGGTTCTCATTGGTCAGACTTTCCCAGAGGTTGGGATGTGACCACCAGTGGTATGAGTGCTGGTGTGAGGCAGTGCGCAGACAGGACCCCAGACGGGTCTGCGAGACACACAGCAACATGGGGACTCCCATTTTGGGCTCCTTCAGATGCCTGCTTGCCTTGAGGAGAAAGGCTCTGAATAGGTTTTATTTCATTTCACTCCAACACATGCCAGGCCCCCCGAGAGAGAGGACACTACACTCAGAGCTCTTGCAGGCAGTTCTGGTGAGACTTGTTTTGTGTTCTGCACTCTGTGCTTGCTTTATGGCAAGGGGTGCTGTTTTGTATTTATGGCAGGGATACAAAGCTAACATTTAAAGTAAATGTAAGTAAAATTAGAACCAATGGGCACATTTACAGAAATACAAGACACTGATAGTGCATCAGCAGGGAAGCATGAAGGTACGGGACAGGTAGCAGGTGGGAGCGGAACAGGAGGAGGAGGAGCAGCAGCTGCCACCTCGGAAGGGGAAGGTGGCCCAGGCAGCCCATGGAGACAGAGGTGCAGTGCCAGAGGTAGTGCTCACATGGGCAGGGCAGGGTGTGTGAGCAGAGAGAGAGAGGCCTGAGAAGTGAGCGGACTGGACGTTGGAAACTTCGAGGGCCAGCCCAAGGGGTAGGTCCAGGTGGGTATGCAGTGTAGAGCCGTTGACACCTGTGGGAACATAAATGTGTAGGCCTGTGCAGGATGCACAGAGGGTGACGGCCAAACAAGAGGAGGAATTTGGCAGCAGGTGAGCGCAGGGTTCCTGTGGGAGAAGCACTGTGGGATCCAGTGCTCGGCTGGCCTGGGGCTCCTTCAGGCAGGAAGGGAACTTTCTATACATTGGGTTCAAGAGTGTGTGTGTGTTTTCCCACATAGTATGGAAGGTGTTGTTTACATGTTAGACACATTCACAGGTACATTCTCGAAGTCTGCTTGAAAGAACAGAAATACGAGAAGGTGGGAAATTAAGCTGAAATTTATGATAGAAGCCAAATACCCTAAATCAGTGGTACCTAAACCAGGCTATTCACGACAGTAGTGTAAGTTCCCATCCCCATTTCAGACCCACCAAATCTGAGTCTTTACAGTTGAGGTAAAGCCCCATGGCTTTCTGATTTAACTTAAGGGTTCCCAGAGTGATGCCAGTGGGCAGCTGAGTTTGGGGAACTGCCGGATCCAGAGCAATCAGATGTTATTTTCTTTGCCCCATAACGGTCACCATCCCTTAGATGGCACGAAGCGTAGGTCCTTTGCGTAGGCTGACCTCGCACATCCATATGAGTGACCGTGTTGACAGACCTACAGCAAAACAGGACTGTCTGCACAGAGCTTCACAGAGAAGTTGATTTTATGTCACTGAAATACAACATTGCAAGGGAAGTCTGAAACATTTCTTGGTTACCTGAGAAGTTTCATCAGACACTGGTAAACTTTTGAAGATCAGCACGTTGGGCGCTTCAAGGGAGAGGAAGTAGGAAGAAAAGGGGAACTGAGGGTATCAGGGTTGCACAAGGGAAATGCAGGGCAGGTTAGAACTAGGAGTGTTGGCTCCTCCTGTCTCATGAAGGTGGCTGTCGAAGCCACTGCCAGTCAAGACAGGACACCGGCTACACCCCAGGGATACCTCAGGGAGAGAATTTTCTGAACAATGAATCTGTTGCCAGAAGAGCAAGATAATGAACACTTTTAACTACAGGATTCACATAAAAATTGTCCCTGCAGAGCCACATAGAATTCTCCCCCATATTAGTTTGCTAATACTGGCTGCCATAACAAGGCACCACAAACCAGGTAACTCAACACAAATTTACTCACGTTCCTGAGGCACAGAGTCCGAAATCACAGTGTTGGCAGGATTGGTTCCTTCTAAGGGCTATGAGATGGCCATCTTCTCCCTGCATGTCCTCATACGATTTTCTCTCTGTGGAGTCTGTCTCTGTGTCCCAATGTCCCCTTTTTATAAGGACACACCAGTCATATTGGATTAGGGCCCACCCCAGTAACAGCATCTTAATTACATCTACAGCGACCTGACTTCTGAAGGTGGCCTCATTCTGACATAGTGAGGGCTAGCGCTTCAACTTTTTGTGGGGGAATACGTTCAGTGTAGAACACTGTGCAATTTAGAAAATCATAGAGCGTGGGACGGTCAGGGGCCCACTTGAGTGGGAGCCATTCAGCCATATAACCAACACTGGAGAGCCTGGTATGTATCAACGCTGGGTCACACTCCAGCGCTGGCTTGGGAATATTACTTCTCTGGGTTTCGGATTCTAATATGTAAAATGAAGGATTATAGTAAATTCTTAGACATTTTCCTTTTTGATCCAGGTTCCAAACCATAACATTTTAAAATCATAAATGACAAATTTGTATGCTGCTATCAGATATCAAACTCCTGCTTCTAATTTAAAGTCTCTAAAGTGTAGAAATGCTAAGTGTATCAACCAAGGTTGGCTAATTGCTATGACCGACAGCTTTCACATTTTCACCTAATTCCGTGAAAGTTCTGGTTGGGCAGCTCTCTGCCAAGGGAAACTCAAGGACTCAGGCTCCTGCTCTCTTCTGGCTCAGACCTCCCCTGGGGTGTGGAGTATTGTGCACTCAGCTGACTGATGGGAACAGAGGAGACCATACAGTATAGGAGGTTTTATGGGCCCAGGCCGGGGAGTGGTGCAGTTCTGACATCCATCACTCAGTCATGTGGCCACACTGAACTACAGGGTTACCTAGGAAAGGTAGTAGAGCTGGTTGCCAGGGAAGAAGTGAACCCCAGCTGTTTCTGCCAAAACTGCCAAAAGGAAGAGTGATGTGCAGCACATCAGGGAACGGTCAGTAAAGTGAGATGAAGCCACAGCGTCTAAGTCTAAAAACAGATATTTTCATTTTTTCAAATAATGTCTGAAATTTAGAGAAACCAGTGTCATAAGAATGACTCAGGAACCTCATGAATATTTAGGATATACGTTTTCTTTATTCTTCAGTCTGTAGTTTCATACACATTTGGTTTTTCAGTACACTAGAAGAGACTCAGGGTTTAAGATCACTCTAGGCACACTTGATTTCTAGTAGTTGCTAGGTTGGTTGGTTTGTTTTCACTCTAAACAAGTCACTAGCCAAAAAATTAATTGTATTCCTCACTGTGTTCTTCCTTCTTGGAATAAAGAGAAACACATTGGAGTAATTACAGTTTGCTGAATAAATGATGTGCTTGTTACTCAAAGCATAATCCATGGTCCTGCAATATTGGCATCACCTGGGAGGTTTTTTTTTTTTTTTAAGAAATGCAGACTCCCAGGTTCCTTCCCAGATCTGGAATCAAAATCTGCATTTTAATGAGATCTCCCCCTCACCTGGGATTTGTATGCACTATAAAGTATACGAACCCCTGATCTAGATGTTAGAGGTGTGACCTGTAGCATTTGACTTGCCCCTGGCTTCATTATTTAGGCTTTGTGGTCAGTGAGTAAGGTGTGTGGGTATTAGTACTTTATCTGTTACTGAAATGACTTGTTGAGATAGCTTCTTCTGTTATGTGTGATCCCTTTGAGGGCAGCTCTGTGATTGAGTTCATCTTTCTTTGTATGAGGTGAGGTGGTGTGGTAAAGGCGTGGGCTCTGGGGCCAGACTACCAGCTTGGGTCCAAGTCCCAGCTCCACCTGCTTAGCCGTGTGGTCCCGAAAAGTTCCATTGTTGCCCCGAGCCTTGGTTTCCTCATCTGTGAGACGAGTCAGATGTTATTCTAAGTACTTCATATGGCAAAACACGGCAAATCTGGCAAGTAGACATCCAGAGTAGACCCTTTCATAATAATGTGATTATACTGTGAATTGACATTGAAACAAAATGAATGCAGGCTTGTGTTTTAAGTAACTTGAAAAGATATAAATTTTTTTTTTTTAATGGGTTTTGCACTTAACTTGCTAGTGAGTTGTTAAAATATAAGGGACACAGTCATGGTGAATTTGAGCCTTCAGACCAGCCAGCGGGCACCATCCATGAGCACTGTGTTTGCCTATAAGAATGTGTAGAAAAGCAGAGCTGTGCAGTTGTAGGGCTCTTGGGTTCTCACCTTTGACAGTTTTAACATTTTCAGTGTGTGCTTTCCTTGGATCGAGGTACCTGGATGAAAGAAATGTTTGTTGAAATGGAGATTTTAATGTTCTTTGGTTAGTTACGATTGATTTGTGGGATGTGCTTTCAAAGCCTCTTTTCCTTCTATTTCGCTTTTTGCTTTCCAAGGGCTATTGCATTGACTAAGTGGATTTGATTTCATTTCCTTGCAAAGCTTCAGTTTATTAAGGCTTTAGACTCTGCTCCTGAATTAATATATTTATTTCCTGTGCTTCCCGTTTCTCCTTTAGTTCTCCCATGTTGTGCCACTTCATAGTTTTCTACATGTTCAGTCTCATATGGTGCCATGAACTGTTTTAGAGAAAGAAAATAGAAAGTTCTCAGAACAATGAAAAGGTCGTGGACTGTTGAGAGACTTGAATCTATGAGTGGAGAGAGTTAAGATCATTCTTGCCTTTGGCCAGTGCTGTTCGGTATGGTAACCACCAGCCACATGTGGCTATTTCAATTTCAGTTCATTAAAATTTTCTTTAAATAAAGAATGAAATTCACTTAATCTGTCACACTGTCTGCATTTCAAATGCCCTGAAGCCCCTCTGTGGTCGTGGTCGGTGTGGGACAGCCCGGTGGAGCTTGTAGCCATCAGGGCAGACGGTACTGTTAGCACCCCGAGACTACGGGAATTCACAGCAACCGTTTTAAGAAAGTGTGTTTGGATTCTGGTTAGTTTCATTTTACCCAAAGGAAGCAAACTCTTCTGTGTTTTCCTAGGATTACCAGAATAGAGTTCTGTGGTTCACAGCCAAAGAGGCTGTTTTAGATAAGCAGAGGTTAGTTTTCAGGGGGAGTTTGCTCTTTATTAGAATCTCATATGCAATTGTATGTTCAAAACAAGATGTGTTCTTAACTCGAACTTGAGCCAGGGTCTAATCTAAGTGTTTGGAGATTTTGATTTGCTGCCGTTTATGCAAACAGTCAGTCCTCCGGCTGGTGGATCCACATGCCCCCAGCAGTTCCTTGAGCTCCTTTTCCTCGTGATTTCTTCCTCAAAGCTAGAAAAGTGGCCTACGGTGGACAGGAAAAGCTCGTCAGCAGCGTGTTTGTAAATTCATCTCACACTAGCTTGTATTAAGGAGTCATCTCTCATTGTCTCTTTGGTTGAAAGTTCTCTCGTTACAAGTCAGGGGCACAGGCGATGGCCCCAGGGGGGCAGGCAGCGTGCAGCTCCCCGCTCAGTGGCCCAGTCTCCCGTTGAGGTGGCGCTCCCGTGGGAAATGCCAGTACGGCTCCACCGCAGCCTCTGCCCCGTGCAGCGCCCGCAGCCGGTGCCACCGCTCCAGGCACATCACCACCAGGGGGTCCGTCGAGTCGAACGCGTAGGCGAACAAGGAAGGGGACCGAACGATCCACGGCAGGTCTCCTGATCCGTACACGCAGCTGTCGTGGACATAGCGACCTGCAAAGGAAGCATGAGAACTTAGCTGCCTTTGTGTCCTCCGTCAGTTTACATTCACACACAGAGAGGGACGCTTCTCCCGGGTCAGCCGTCGGGCCTCTGCCTCACAGGACCTCAGACGGGACACGATTTCCCAGATGGCTCTGATGGGAGCTTCTGTGTGGGATTTAGAATCTAAATGGGGGACAGGCGTGCTGTGTGCAATGGGTGCTACTTTAAGGGAATGCGGTGGAATAGTTGTGAATCATGAACACGCAAGGGAGGCATAGTAGTGCGTCTCTCGTTTGCCTGGCTAGCTCTGAATTCTCTATCAGCCTTCACGAACAACCTCAGTTGTGGGTGGTGCGCAAGAATTGCATAGGTGCTAACAGGTCGTTGCTGCAGTCCGTTTCTGCTCCGGCAGGGTGAGTGTGTGATGTAACTAGGAGGGAGAACTGAAACGGTGGTTCGAATCCTGTGCTGGCCTCCCAGCAGCCTGTTCCGTGCGCTCACAGGCCCTCCCCGGCAGTGTGACATGCCCCCCTCCCACTGTGGTTCGCAGAGGAGCGGTTGCTCAGTTTGTGTGAGGGAGGGGTCTGTCCGGGTGGGCCCTGCTCCTCTCTCCACGCCCATACAGCCCTCCTTCTCCTAAAACCTGCCGGAGGGAAATACCACAGGATGGGAGGAACTGCGTGCACAGAATAACCGAGTGGTGTTTGTGAGCAGGAGAAGGTGGGGAGAACCTTCCCCTTGGGAGCAGGTGTTCGTCCCTTAAGGAGCCAAGCAGCTGGAGCGCAGAGAGCACTCTGCCAGTGGCCCCGTTTTCAGGACTCAGATCTTTCTCACTGAGAGGCATCCTTGGTACAGCGTCACAGAGTCTCAGTAGAATTGCATTTCACCAGTTGGAAAGTCGGAGTATGAAGACAAGCAGCGTGAAGAACTTCGGACAGAGTGAAAAAGAGTCCCTCGACTGTGCCTGGATAATCCCGTCCTTTGTATACACGCAAGTTAGAGCTGGAAGGGAACCCAAGCCAGTGGAAAGTCCTCAGAGCTGGATTCATGCTGTTTGGTGACCACGAGTAGGCTTTTGCTGATAACAGCAGGGTGACAAGCACTCTTTGTATCAGCTCATCCAGTGGAGGGGCACCAGGCAGCAGCACCTGGCTCGAGACCCAGCTCTGCCACTTCCTGTGCTGCTGCCTGGGACATCGGGGGTGACTCGCTCCTCCAGGCCTAGGGTTCCCTCTCTATACAGTGTGCTTATGATAGTTAATAACCCAGAGTCATTGTGAGGCCTGACTGCAGGCCCAGAGCCGGGCTCTGGGAGGGGGCAGGGTCTAGCACAGTCCCTGCCAGGGCTTGGCCTGTGGCGGGGGCCGGCGGAATGCTGGCCATCCGTGGCCACATCACCGCTCTGCTGGCCGACGTTGTGCATACCGAAGTGAGCAACAGCAAGAACTTTCAGAAGTGTTTACTTCGGGGCAATGATGATTGTTGATAAGATCCACAGTAATTAGGCTTTTTGGCAGACGTTCAAATACCCAGGTTGTCACTATATGAAATTCTAAATCGATATTATTGATAGCAGCAGCCCTACATGACTTCTGTGAGTGAATCATGTTTTCAGGAAGAATCTGAGCTCCACCCTGCAGGCCCCTGGCCTTTCCCGAGCATTTATTCCCCAGTCTTGTCAACCCCAGTGCATCATGGCAGCAAGAACCTGCTTTCTGAAGAAAGGCCAAGGTTGCTGCTTACCCTCCTGTTTGACTATCACCTTTTTCTGTGTGTGACGAGCTCCCTAATTGAATCCTGGCGAAAGTATTTATTACTAGAAAATTATTCTAGCCCCTCCTGACCTGATAACCTGTCAGGAGGGCGGCTGTGCACATGACAACAGGAATTACTCATCTTTGAATTACTCTGATATTAGGTTTTACATTTTTCACTTGTTTACAACCTGTCTCTTTTGGGTCAGTCTTTTAAATACCTTGAGAACTGGGGTGAACCCAGCTGAGATTGCATATCTGGTCTACTGTAACTCAATGCACCATGAGACTAGGTGGTTCTATCTTCACAGTAGCTCCCACCGTGGCTGGAAAGCTGCAAGCAGGCAGAAGGGTGGGCCAGATCTGCTCAGACAGAGGGTGCTGTGCCCCGGTCCCCTGCACGCACGTCTGCTATGCTCTCCCTGCTTTCTCTGTCCCCCACAGTTGGCAGCCCCATAAAGGTCAGACACCTCAACTTCCTTTCCATGCGGGCTCCCAGAGCATTTGCACCTCTCTCTACCGGACTTGTGTGCATGGCGCAGTGACCGTTTGCCTCCATCTCCTCCCCAAGACCATCTGCTCCTCTCAGACAGTCATCAGATCCTGGGCTTCAGGTGGGCAGGAGGAGCCGGTGCCCAGAGACGAGGCATGAACAGCCTGGTGGGAGCCCAGGCCGTGTTCCCATTCCCTGGGCCTTTCCCCCTAGACTGTGGTGCCTGAGAATCTGCAGTCAGCCAGTTCTTTTCCAGCCTTTTCACCAGAGAAGGCACTGCCCTCCCTGCCCGCAGTCTTGCTTTTCTGTATTGTCCTGGTAACTAAAACCTCTGAGACAGCGGACACAGAGGCAAAAGAATTCACAGCTCACAGGGAGAGTCTTCTGAGGGCAAAGCGAAAAGACCTTCCTTCAGCAAGAACTACTCAAAAACCCGCTCTGGAGCATACACCCGTGTTACTCGTCTATTCCAGTAGAGACTTAGGGAGACATGAGCTTTTTTAAATAAATGTCTGAGTTTGAATTTTAGGAGCACGTGGAACCCAGCTAGCTTGTGTATTTTTATCTTAAAACCTTTAAAGTTACAGCCTGGTTTTGTGTTCACTTTGGGAAAATTTATCAATTTGTGCACTTTTCTGTCTAGATGTTAGAATTAAATAAATTCTAAAAAGATCGATCCAAAGGAATTGGACTGTCACTAATCACATCGCTACTTCTGCTAACGATCGTCTGCGTCTCCCCATGTTACCCTGGCAGTAATTGTATAGTTTTCATAAAATTGGAAGGCTTGCTTTTGGTTTGGTTCAGTTTTTACCTTTACACCCATCATGAACACTTCCCTCCTCGTTTCTCCATTTAACAGCTCGAACATTTCCTTCCCAGCCGGAGTCTGGTGTGGCTCCTGGGGCATCTGGGGGAAAACAGAACAAGCATTGCAGCACACAGACAGCTCCTCAGCCCTCCCTTCCTCCACTGTCAGGGATAGAGGTGGGGGGAGGGGAGAAACGGAAAGTCTGGCCTCACTCGGAATGTTGGGTCATCATCTGATGAGGGGTTAATGCTCTGGGGATGGGTGGGGGGTGCTGGGCTGGCCCTCTGTTCCGAAGTTGGGCTTCACTTTCGCTTTCTTCCTTTTCTCCATCCCTAGTAATTCACTGAACAGCCTGTCCTTGGCATGATGATGTTCGGTTTCTTGGGATTGTGTTTTCTCCATGATAGCCCTCTGGGGTGATTTGAAAATAGGATTTTTAGTAGATATGAGAGATTATAGTGAGATCCTAACCAGACCATAAGTTCTGCTGGATTCATTGTTTGCGCTGTCACCAGTTAGCTTAGCTGTTTGAACTTGGAGCCATACCCCCTATAGAAGCCGATCAGCTTTGTACAAAGAGAAAATAATTCTACTTAAAGAAGGACATCAGATTTCCCTCTGCCCTTCAGAGAACCAGAGGTATCCTGTCTGCCACCCAGAAAATTACTACTTTTAATATTTTCTATTCCTTTTTTTAAAATATTTTATTTGAGAGAGGGCGCATAAGCAGGGGGAGCCTCAGGCTGTTGGAGAGGTAGAAGCAGGCTCCCCGCTGAGCAGAGTCTGCCATGAGGCTCCATCCCAGGATGCTGGGATCATGACCTGAGCCCAATATATTCTATTCTTCAAGAGCCCCTAGCATAATGTCTGGCTCTAGTAGGTATGCAGTAGTATTTAATAAGTGAATGAAGAAGTTTCTGAAGATCTGTGCCGAGATGCTGGTATGATTTTTTTCCAGAGAGGGAACAGAAGCAACTGGGCTGGTTTGGGAATGTGGTGCGCTCTCAGCAAACCTCAGACCCCTAAAACTGAAGACCCTTCTGTATCCTCAAGTGAAAGATCCTGTACAACGTAGAGCTATTTGCCAAGACATAGTAAAATAGTGAAATAGCAAGACTTGTCACTCAAGAGTAAACTTCTGCTGTTGCTGCCTCTACTCTGACCAGACCCCATATTGCTGGGTTGTCCTTACCTCTCAGCCTGTTCAGAGTCACCCAGTAATGGCGCTCTGGGCTCTGCACATCTTTGGACCACTGGAGCATGTCTTTTGCGCGGGCGTCAGTCAGTACAAAGTCTACAAACTTCCTTGTTAGGACATAGTAGGCGCTTCCAAAATAAATTGTTAAGTTATGGGGTGGTTTGTCTTTGAATTTTGAATTTGGAGATATGTGGATATTTCCTTCAGAGCTGAATTCAGGATGACTTTCACTTGTCTTGGATTTCACATTTGGTGGTTGGATTACTCCAGGAGTGATGTTTTTATCATTCCATTTGCTTCTGATGTAATGTATGATTTCTTTGTTGGTTTTGATTGGAAAATCCTGTCCACAAAGGTTAATGACATAGTTCCATTGAAATTTGGAATGGACCAGATCTTTCATACAATTAATATCTGCCTGTAGTCTTGTAAAGCCAGTGTAAGCTACTCTTGCTCTCTTTGAGGAAATAAAAATATTTCCAAAACAGTTAACCAGGGTTTGCACAGCAGTCTTGTACTTCTTTGGGACCTTTTCATCCACATAAATACAGTAAACATTTTGAGGCACATAAATAGCTCTGAGAAGTTGCACAAACATCGCCAGCTCCTTATGAATAGTTATAATATATGCCAAAGAGAAATTTCCCTCTTCTGCAGACAAGGGTCTGGTTATGAAATGCAAGTCCTGGGAAATCCTAGAACAGTTTCCTGGTGTGCGTAAATGAGCAAGTATTTGAGAAGCATGAGGGGTTTTACAAAATCTTGCAATTTGAAGGGCGGCCCCTTTCCCTTCAAGTAAAGCTGAACACAGTTCGTCTGGATAAAAACCACATTCCACTACTGCTGGATAAGTGGGTTCCTCCTCTGCTTCCTCAGGAGTTGGATTCCTTAAATAAAGAAAAACAAAGATGCAAATGCCTGCACACACGAGGAGCCCAGGCTTCGTGGCTCGCAGCTGGCTCATGTTTCGGGCTCCAAGGGCCTTCTTGTCACCATGGTTTAAAATGTTTGCCTTTCAGCTTCCTAAGAGAACAACAGGTAGACTTTAGGGTGTGGCAACTCTTCCCCAACCTACAGCTCGACTGAAGCTCAGGGGCATAACGCGTATAGCATGCTCAGTGTTTCTGTACCTGTATGCGTATACACCTGCAAAACCATCGCCACAGTCACCAGGACAAGCATTCCCCTCACCCTTGAAAGTTTCCTTGTACGCCTTTTACTCCATCCTCCTTCCACCCTCACTCTGGGCTATTTCTGATATTCTGTTATTGTAGATTCACTGGCATGTCCCATTAACTTTATATAAATGGAGTTGTACACTGTGTAGTTTTTGCCTGGCTTGTTTCACTTAGGATACAGATTTTAAGGTTTCATCCACATCATTGCATTCATCACCGTCCTTGCCTCTTTATAACTGAGCAGGGTTCCATCGTGTGGGCACGCCACAGTTTACCTGTTCATCTGCTGTGGGCATTGAAATTGTTTCCAGTTATAGGATATTACTAGGTGCTATAAGCAATCATGCACAAGACTTTGATCCTTTGTTTTTGTTTTTGTATTTCAGTAGCTTTATTGAAAGCTATAAACTTAGCTAGCTTAGCACCAAAACATAGTAGTTGTTTAGGTGACCTCTACCAACTCAGAATTAACACCGATGTATTCAAACTATTGAAATATAGATCAGCCTTTGGGAAAACTGAAAAGTTATCCACGAAACATGTTTACAAAAGTGTAAGATATGCTGTGGGTCTGTGGTTTATTTTCTGGTACTTATTGACCAATAACGTGATATCAGAATTGGGCACAGCTGTCCTGGATGGACTCAGGCTACGCATTGCACTGAGTAGCCGTTTGCAAAACTTGCGATGCTGGAGATCTCCTTACATTCACTGACATCCTAGAAAATCCTGATGATGAACTAAAAGTTCACAATCATAAATGTTGCCTAAGACTTGCTTTTGGCACAGTAGGGGCAATTAGTGAAAGTATAATTCTCAGCCTTTTAAACACAGTTCTAAATTAGGAGCAATGGCAGTTTTTAAAAAAAAAAAAAAAAAAAAAACCAGCACTTAGTGAAAACTTCTGGAATGTTAAATCAGCAGGTTTCCAGGGTGATGTTAACAGGGACTGTTGTTTTTGTTTCCCTGGGGGTAAATACATAGCAGTGAAACTGCCAGCTGTTTCCCAAAGTGGGTGTACCATTTTACGTTCACAGCAGCAGTGTAGCAGAGTTCTAGTCACTTTATATCTTCACCAGCACTTGCTGTGGTCAGATTCGTTATTTTAACCATTCTGATAGGTGACTGGTGATGGTTCATTGTGGTTTTGCTTTGTATTTTACTTTGCATTTCACTTTGCATTTCCTTAATGATGTTGAGCATATTTGCATGTGTTTACTGCTGTAATCTTGACAGGCAAAAAAATCTCAAATATTTATTTTGGACAGGAATACTTTCCTGTTCCGCATTACTCAGAGTTCATTTTGTGCTGTCTCTCTGTATCATGTTATAAGTCTTTTCCAGTAAAAGAAGCAACAAATCAGGAGAAATATTATGATCATAGACTATGTCTTGTTGACATGAGTTGATTATGTTTAGAGAAGGCTTCAGTGATTAAAAACATATCTTTATCTAATATTATTTGATAATAATTGAGTTGCCTTTCTGGAGCCCTGCAGAAATGCATGAGTGGCTTAGCAGGAGTAAAGGTGGTGACCAAAGGCATTTTGATTAATTAATTATTAATGCATAAAAGGCATCATCACCTTTGAAATTTAGGAAGAAGAATGAGCAGGTAAACTGTCTGTGTTGTTAGTAATTACTTTTTTCATATTTATAAATCCTGACTCCTGGTTTCCATAAAAAGTTTTACCATTGCCTATTTAAAAAGCCCATTTGCTTTTGAGCAATGTTCTGTCTCAGGTTTGACACTAGTCCCTTGGCCTCCTACATTATTATAAATGGCATTTAGATGAAGCATTGACCAGGCAGCCTTTTGAGTTGTCCCTGTGTTCTTAAACTGTGAGTCAGTGAAAGCTCTAAATGCTGATTGTGGGTTGTGAGTTTAAAAAACGTATTTATTTTCCTTGTATGGTTTCGTTTTACCCACCCTGCTTCAGACATAAAAAGCAGCCACTGCCCATATAGACCAAGTTACAGTGTTTTAGGCCAGTTCAGTAAATGTTTATAGATAGCCCCAAACATGAAACATTAGGGCACAATTTTAAAGACATTTTTAGAAATTATGTAATACTTTTTACAAATGCAAAAACTCACATAATGAACACATTTCATATCTGGTATGTAAAATAAAACCTAGAAATTTAGCAAGAAGGAAATTCCTTCTTGAAATTAAAATAAAGCTTTTAACTACTTTTACAAACTTCAAGGGCACCCATGTGCCATAGTTTGTTGCACTTTCTCTTGTATTATAGCTTTGGCTTGTTTGGTTTTGTTTCTAGGCTTGTGGTCAAAGTAAAACATTGTGGTCTCATCACAGAAATGTTGCTAGCCCCACTTCACTGACAAATCACACCCTGTGTAAACTGTGGCTCCACCACAGGGAATTGGATCTTTTCAGTAGTTTGTAATAATTAAATGAGGACAAGTCCCATGTGTAATCCGCTATCCTTTAGGGTAATACCTGGGCTAAGTGTTTTCTCTCCCTTCTGTAGAGACAGAAGAGCTTGGCTGTGTTCATCTGCCGCCACTCGGCCTCCCAATTCTGTCAATGAAGCGCTGCCCAGTTAAACCTTCCTTCCAGCTCAGGTTCCCTCTGTGATTGAGAAGTAGGTGTGCCCTAGAATGCCACCGGCCGGCCGTGGGGACCAGGGTCAGCAGCAGTGATGCTTTGTTGTCATTGCTTCAGCACAGGCTCTTTAAGGCAGGCAGCCCTGCCTCCTCTAAGTGCGGCCTCCCGAGGCCTCGCCACTGTCGCGGTTCTTGCTGTGGCTTTAACACGACACCTAGTGGGCAGCGTGGAAATGCCCACGGGCCTCCCCCCTTCGGGGCTGGCCAGGTCATCTTTCAGCAGGGGGTGGGCACCATTTTCAGTTTGCAAATATTGGCTAGCCTTGATTCTTGGTGACTTGTGGTTTTGTCTATCATGTAAACTCGACTTTTGTTGCCATAATGAAAATGTAATTATTAAACATGCGACTTTTCTATCACTGAACTAATTTCTGAGACATGTAAGTGGCATTTTTCAAGTGTGGGGATGATACACAACTCATTAAAAAGTACAGTCTTACTGACTTCTGGACCCTTTTTTTCTCCCATAAAAAAAAATATTTAAAATATTTATTTATTTTGAAGGCTTTAGAAAGGGGCGCCTGGGTGGCTTAGCTAGTTAAGCATCTGCCTTCAGCTCAGGTCATGATCTCAGGGTCCTAGGATCCAGTGCAGCGTCAGGCTCCCTGCTCTCTCCTCCTCTCTCCCTCCCCTTCTCCCTCTCCCTCTGCTCGCACTCTCTCTCCCTCCCTCTCTCTAATACATAAATCTTAAAAAAAAAAGAAAAAGAAAAAGACTTTAGAAAGAGCAGCAGTTATCCTTGTGTTTTATGGAGCAGATAATATGAAGGTTGTCCAGATCAGACCCATTTTTACTATTCCAGTATGTTCTTTCCTCACCTTACTGGAGTCACACATGGCTCCTGAAACTGTTATTTTGTGTGTGAGAACATTCTCTTTTCATGTACTGTCAGTTACTGAAGTTACCTTTCCTGGGCCTTACATACCCTAATAATCTGTTAGTCCCTCCATCACCACAGCCTTTGGGAGGCAGAATCAGTGAGTATGTTCAGGGTGCAATAGAATCAAATAGCAAATAGAATTAAATAGACCGTGAGTAATGTTTTGAAGATCATATGTTTAGTTGACTGAAGACATATGACACCCAACAGATAGTGGAGAGTCTCTTTCAGTAAAAATAATTACCAAAGCTATGGTTAAGGATGGGGTTTAAAGTTTTTCCCTGGGACACCTGGGGGGCTCAGCAGTTGAGCGTCTGCCTTTGGCTCAAGGTGTGATCCCAGGACTCTGGGATCTAGTCCTGCATTTGGGCTCCCTGCATGGAGCCTGCTTTTCCCTCTGTCTGTGTCTCTGCCTCTCTCTCTCTGTGTCTCTCATGAATAAATAAATAAAATCTTAAAAAAAATGTTTTTCCCTTTTTATAGTGTTAGAATCTATATGATAGGAGAAATGATTTTCAGGTAATAGTTCTCAAAATGGACTTGTTTTGTTTTTTATGTTTTTGCCCAAGCATATAATACTGTCAAGGAGTTGTTTCAAAACACATTACTCTCCTAATTATTAGACCAAGTGAGTATGTTTTTCTTTTTCTTTTCTTCTTTAGCCAGCCACAGCCCCCCCCCCCTTCACCACCCCATGGCAAGCCTTAACAGCCAGAAACAAAAGTTAGCGACGTGGGTTGGTATCATGTATTACCACGAGAACACTTTCTTTAAAAGCAGTCATTTTTATACTTTTTTTTTTTTTTACAAGGGTAATTTCTGTGAGTTAACAGATAATGAATGAGTGGGCATCTTTAAAGATGAACTTAAAATAGTTTCCTATATGTTTTAGAATATTACTGTTTTAGAGCATTAACATTAGCTTGCCAAGATTAAATCATTGAGTCTCCATTTTCTGGACTTAAGATGGAATGTATGACAGGACCTGCCCCATAGGAACACCGGGATAGGAGTTCCAGAGCAGGTGGATGTGAGTTTCCTACTGAGCCTGGCTGGGGGAGGTACTCAGCTTTAGCAGGATTGGGGTGCTTAGCATTGACCCCAAGACCATGAATGTCGATGCTCTCTATTTATAGTAGGTTTATCCTAAAAAAGCCACTTTGGCCACAGCAATGAAAATCTGGTGCCTGTTATTTTATGGTCTCTGGGCTCAGAATGATTCCCAGTATCCACAAATTAAATCATTTGGTTTTCTTGAACTCTTTTAGTTTGCAACGTGAGACTGATTTTGAATTCAAACACTGTTCAACTATCCAGCAAAATAGATGTCTTAGTCACAGCATGTATACTGTGGTTTCAGCCATTTCAATACAAAGAGGAAAACTGAATGGTTTCAGCCATTTCAATACAAAGAGGAAAACTTTTTATGATATCCTACCCAAAATCACCACAACAAAAATAGCATGATTGGCACAAAGTGAGGCCTTGAACATGGCCTTGAGGCTGACTTAGTTATTATCTGCGGTATGAGGAAGGAGCAGCTGGTGGCATTTTAAATTTAAAAATCTAATCTCCAACTTGAAAATATTCCACTTTTATTTTCTTTGGCTGAAACGAAGACCAAGGGCTGTTTTTGAGAGAAAAAGATGCCTGCTACATATGCATTTTAAAATATTACTGATCTTCCACTATTTATGTTTTAAAACTATAAAGGAGGCAAAAAATTTTTTTAATAATTGTAACCTGCTCAGCCTCTGGCATTCATGATCTGGGCATATTTAGTGAAGCACTTACCAAAAGCCGTTCCTCATATTCCAAGGGCTGGAATGCTGGCCGTGTCCGTCCCAGCCCAGTTTTTCTCTCCCATGGGTGGTTCTCTTCCCATGGCTTCCGCTCAAATCACATGAACGGAGTTGCTTGGCAGGTTTTGTTACCCTTTCATCCCTGGAGGATTTTATTCTTGTTGGTTGGAACCTGCAGATTGAAAAATAGTCGCTTCTTTGAGTATTTCTCAACGACTGGATCACTGCTTCACAAAACACGACGAGACAGCAGCCGTAATCACTCAGCCCAGATGAAGGGCAGCAGAGTGCTCTGGTGTTCTGAAAGCTGGATGAAGCCCTAGCAGTTGCAGGGCAAATTCTATAAATGTTTTTAAAAATTGGAGGCCAGTTTTCATCAGAAGAATAAATAATAAAAGTCCTTTAAAAATCTTGGTTGCGGGGATCCCTGGGTGGCTCAGTGGTTTGGCGCCTGCCTTCGGCCCAGGGTGTGATCCTGGGGTCCTGGGATCGAGTCTCGCGTCGGGCTCCCTGCAGGGCGCCTGCTTCTCCCTCTGCCTGTGTCTCTGCCTCTCTCGGTGTCTCTCATGAATAAATAAATAAAATCTTAAAAGGAAATCTTGTTTGCTTCCTAAATAGCATTCGGAACAATGCAAGCGTCTCAGCACGGCTCTCCAGAGGGCCTGAGTTCAGGGACGCAGGTGAGCAGGTGAGCCTTGCCCTGCTCAGTCCTCTGCGGCTCCCAGGGGCGGGGCTGTGCCGTGGCACGTGGCTGAGGTGGCCCCTCTGCTCTGCCGTCAGTGACTCTTCCCTTTGTTGTTCTCCGCTGCTGGATGCCTGTACTCTCGCCTTCTTTCCCTCCTCTAGTTTAAAAGCTTCCCTCACTTGCTATGTCTTTAGGTTTCCCACAAACAGCTCTGCTAAGAGTAGTGGAGCCAAGAGACTAGAGTTACACACCGTGGAGGCTTATCCTCTTGCATGGATGGATCCAGGCACTGGAGCTTGACTTTTAGTCAGAGGAGTACAGGTTCACTTCACCTGCCCGCAGGTGACTCGAAGCATCTGTTGCTCTTCTGTGGAACAGATTTGCTGTTGCCATTGAAAGATTTCTTCATTGAGCATCTAAAGTCTAGTGTCTTTAGGCTCATGGAGTTGCGGCATGGCTGTGTGTGGCAGGTATGCTTTTTATATAAAAAGATTTGTGCCGCCTTTCAGTAGTGAGATCTCGGATGTGTTTGTTTGGAGATCTTTGGATGCCTGAACAAGAATCAGGAAAGGAAGGGTCCTTTCACATATGGCAAGGCTGCTGGTGAAGTCTTGCTGCGGTGTGTGCCCCCTGTACCTTGAATGCTTGTTGGAAAAGTCATCCTGTGGGTACTCGTGACCTGGGCCCTTTGTAGTGGCCTGTCCCTAGGGGATAGGATTGGTGCTGGATTTCACCTGTGACCTCATATCCTGAACCTGGTAGGAAGAAGAATCACTAAGCCAAAAAGCAGTGAAAGTGGGATCCCTGGGTGGCGCAGCGGTTTGGCGCCTGCCTTTGGCCCAGGGCACGATCCTGGAGACCCGGGATCGAATCCCACGTCGGGCTCCCGGTGCATGGAGCCTGCTTGTGTCTCTGCCTCTCTCTCTCTCTCTCTCTCTCTCTCTCTCTCTCTCTCTCTCTGTCTCTCTCTCTGTGACTATCATAAATTAAAAAAAAATAAAAAAAACTAGATATGCAGAAATAAAGTTTGGTCAAACATTTATAAAAAAAAAAAAAAAAAAAAAAAAAAGCAGTGAAAGAAACAGCTGAGAACATAGAGTGGCCTGCATGCATCTTTACACTTCCATAGCCCTAAGGGAAATATAGGATAAAACCAAACATACGGGAGGAATTACTGTGATAAATGGAGCAAAGGTTAATAGGCCTAATGTATTGACTTCTTATACAGGTTGGTTCAAGTCAAAATGTTTTTGAATGAATGTCCTAATAAAGTGGACCTATAAGCATATACATGTAATAGTGAGAGAGGCAGTAGGAATGCGGTAGGGATTTTTGTTTCTTAACCAAAGCCAAAAAGGAGTTTACCTTCTTTTGCCTTCTAGATCAGGGTAAGTTTTTTTGTTCCTTCAAATTATCTGGTCTGCTGGGCCCTCTCACATGTTGTAGGGAGTATAAAGTTAATATGATCTTTCAGGGGAACTATTTGGCTTTAAAATTTTATTCCCTTTCCTCTTCACTTGGAGTAGTATTTCTTCAGTCTCTATTTTCATTCAGACATAGCATGGTTATTTACTGGATGCCCTGTATGGAGGACCCTGGGCCCCAGCTGAAGACGACAACAACAAGTCCCTCCCTCCGACATGTGACAGAGGGAAGCACTGTTTTACAAGTCAGTACACACATGGGCACACGCTTTTTTACTGTGTGCCACGAAGCACTCTGCAGGAATCAGTCTGTGTGGTGGAGAATATACAAGTCCCACAGTGGGATTTAGGGGTCTGAGATGCATTTCATTGATTGTTTTTTACAAATGTTATTTGTAAGAATAGTGTTTGAGAAACCACTCTTCCATTTGTGATACAGACATACAGATAGAGTAGCATACAATCGTAATTCTACCCCTGTTCCCTCGGTGCTTTCCTGCTGACTTTTTTTTTTCTAATGCTTTTAAAAACTATTAATCTCCAGAGGTCATATGGATATACAGTTTATAGTTGTCTTCTCTTAGCATGATAATAAGCACTTTCAACATTTTCAGAAACTCTGAAATAACTATCTGCCCTTCTTTCTAAAGAACGTATTGTGATTTTTTTTTCTAATTTTTTTTAAGATTTTATTTATTTATTCATGATAGACATAGAAAGAGAGAGAGAGGCAGAGACCCAGGCAGAGGGAGAAGCAGGCTCCATGCCGGGAGCCCAACACAGGACTCGATCATGGGACTCCATGATTGCACCCTGGGCCGAAGGCAGGTGCTAAACTGCTGAGCCACCCAGGGATCCCCTATTGTGATATATTTAACTATTTCCCCATTTGGGGGACATCTAGATTATAACTGATCAAAGGAAGCTAATTGAAGATAAATCTGTGGTTTCAACTGTGCAGTAAGTAACCATACACATAGAAAAATGCATTTGGGGGCATCTGGATGGCTCAGTGGTTGAGTGTCTGCTTTTGGCTCAGGTTGTGGTCCTGGGATCAAGTCCCACATCAGGCTCCTTGCAGGGAGCCTGCTTCTCCCTCTGCCTTTGTCTCCACCTCTCTCTGTCTCTCATGAATAAATTAAAAAAACAAAAAGAAAAATGCATTTGTGGGCATACATGGGTGTTTTGCACGTATATGTGTTACTTCACAAGTGGAGAAAAGGTCCGTCCCTTTGGGTTAGCCGTGCTTTTGCTGCAGCCCTCCCCTCCCTCAGTGACCCTCCCTTAACCCTTCAGTCCCTAGAGAAGAACCCAGCCTGGCAGCTGGTGCTGTGGACAGAAATCTGCTTCCTGCTCTGGCTTCACTTTCCCCAAGGGATGGGCCACTCATCCAAGTTCCTGGGGTCAGTCAGAGGCCTGCCAGGGTCAGGCCCATACCAGGAGCATGTGAAGGGCCTGTGGCCAGTGGGAGGGTCATGTGCCCCAGCTCCAGGGGGCAGCCCTGCTCAGGTCCCAGCAATTGAGGCCTTGAGAGTACAGGTTCAGTATTGATAGATCTTTTGCATTTGGGGGAGAAAGCAAAATATCTCAATTTTTAAAAGTGTGAGAGGTTCCCGACTTTTTATATGCTTAGTGGCTAATTCAGTTTTAAAAATATAACTCCAGGCACAACATACCACAACTGTATGTAGAACGGGGTCCACAGTCCTATCTAGACAACTATAAACGGTCACAGGTGGAGGAGACAGTTGACTGCTGAGAGCTGCTGTAGAAAGCCTGGAGTGAGGGGGGCAAGGCGGGCCAGCGGGACAAATGGGGACTCCTTTCTATCTCTTGGTTGTGTGCTCGGAGGGTTATTGACGCCATAGCCCTGGCCCCACTGGGCTGTATCCACCTCCCAATTCTGTTCTTGTAGATCCCTTTTCATTGTCACCTCAGGACAGAGATCTCCCAGGGGAAGGCTCTACCCAAACCTCCCACAGCGCGGGGCTTCCCAGGGGGCCGCCTCTTGCAGAGCCCGGAGGCCTCCCAGCAGTGATGACAAAAAACAAGCTCCTTTTCTTCCAAGACAGTCCCAGCTAGGTGCCCTGTCAGGTCCCCTTTTATTGTTCATGTGACTTCTCTGTGTCCCTGATGTTGATTTGTGGGCCACAGTGGGATCTCGTCAGTTGTGACAGCTTACCAGATCCCCCCTAGAAAAGGAGGTGCCTTGGGCCCGTGTGGTGGGTTTTGGAGGTGAGAACCAAGCTTAGGCAGCAGCTGAAGGGTCAGCGCATGTCGACTGGCTCTCCTGTGTGTTGGGAGGTGCTGGGAAGGTCTTGGCAGCTTTTAGGAAGAACGCTTCAATGTCTTGTGCTGAGAATGTGTTGTAGAAAAGAGATTCTGGGTACAGTAGGTCAGTGGCTCTTCCTGTTTCGGGGATAGTAGGCTTTCGAGGACTCACTGGGGTCAGCACATGATGTGCTCACAGCTCATATTTATCCCGGCATTCTAGTAAGGCTCTGTGGCCACTGGTAAGGGACAGAGACCCAGGCAGACTGGGCAGGAATCCAGGCTCTCTCCCTTCCATGAAGGGACACAGACACACTTGCCTCTGCAAGGCAGATGCAGCCACATGTGTGTGAGGTTTCTCCCAAGGAAGCTACTTAAGAGACGTCATGTGTCCTGGAGATGGGGCTGTGTCGGAACAGGTCGCTCTCCTACAGGAAAGCACAAACCCACAGCTGTGGCCCATGGGGTTGGCTGTTGGGTGCCCAGCCCTGTGCTACGGTCCCTACAGCGTCACCCTAAACTCTTGCCTCATCCCCCACCGGGTTGGGAGTTCTGCTTACTTCCCATTGAACAGATGTGGTAACTGAGGCCAAGAGCATCCACGGGTGTGTCTGGGCCTTGGGACCCACAGGAGGAGGAAGAAGACAGAACACAGATGCTGCCCCAGATCCTTCCCTACCTCCGCAGGGCCGGCTCCCCAGGGGGGCTTTCAGAATACAGGGCCCCCTCCCTCCGTGGGAAGCACAGCGGGCAGCAGCCCAGGACCGAGCTGAAGAGCAGCCCCTGCCTCTGGACAGGTCCTCCCACTGTCCTACTGGGACGGAGCCCAGTTCCCCCAGTTGGCCGTCTGCCCAGGGAGGGGTTCCTCCATGGGCAGCGTCTGCGTCATCTGAGAACCAGAGCTCCTGGGTCTGGCACTGGCCGGGGCTCCCCTCGCTCCCGGAGACCCTGCCGTCCCCAGGCTGGCGACCGTCTGCTCCATCTGGGACAGGATGCGGCAGCAGGTGCTGAGTAGATACTGCTGATTCCCACCGCAGACTATTCCTGAATGCCCACGGGCGGGGCGGGGGGGGGGAGCGGCGTGTCCGGGGCCATGGGACAGACCTGGGTGGAAAGAAGCCTGACACAGGAAATGGTGGGCACCCTCCACCGCGCAGAGCTAGGCCTCTCAAGCCTACCACGCTGACTCCATACCCAGAACTTGCCAAAGCAGGGCTCAGGGTGAGCATTTGGGGCTAGCTGCCCTCTGCGTGGTGATGCAGTCCCCTCTGTGTTCTCCCTCTCCAGTGTGGGGCTGCCTTCCAGGACGACGACGTCATCGTGCTCAATGGCACCAAGGAGGATGTGGAAACGCTGAAGAAGAGGATGGAGGAGAGGAGGCTGAGGGCAAAGGTCGGGAAGGTAATGGAGCCTTCAGGTGCTTGGCGGTGCTTTCGGGTGTGCAGTGATTAAGGTGCTTTTTACGACCTCCAAGGGTTCCAGTCAGGGCTCCCTGTGTGGGGCACAGCACTTCTGCTCTCCTTTATTCAGCTGCTTCATCCGTGACATGGGGATGGTGACAGCCCCTGCGCAGGACAGGTGTGGTCAGGAGGTCACCAAGATTGTCCCTGGAGTGCAGCCCAGGGAGGGGCAGCCACCACCACCACTGTGCTGCCACTGGCTTTAAGAGTACGTCCTGGTGCATAAAACTTGTGCCATAGAGGTTCCCAGCACATCTGGAGAGCCTCTGCTATGCAGGTCTGAATGTCCTTGGGAGTCCCCTGGAGATCGGGGGCCCCCAGAGCCTGTGATCCCTGCCCACTGCTGAGGCACCTCAGGTAGCTGGCGGCGGGTGGGGTAGGGTAACAGCCTTCCCATGACTGGGGGCTGCCCCCAGCCTCCCTGAGCTTCCAGTGGGGCCTCTAGTGGTGAGGACTGGCAGGGAAGCCAGTGACGGACCAAAGCTAAGGGTGGATGACATGACAAGGAGGCTTTGTTTTGTGGCCCTGGCCTTAGCATCCCATTCCGTAGGCAGTGGTGTCATTGCCTCATGATTTGGCATAATAACCAGGCTCAAAACAGTTTATCAGTTAAGTCATTTTTATGTGCCATCCATTCGAGATCTAGCAGGAAATTTCGTTATTTCTTAAGTATTTACAGATGATCCCTATCATCTTTCCTGAACAGCAAGATTTTCATTCTTTAAAAAAAATAAGTTAGGGACTTATTTGTCCCTAACTCAGTCCTTAGAGCTCGCAACTCTTGATCTCAGGATTGTGAGCCCCACGTTGGGTGTAGAGATTACTAAAAAAAAAATAATAAATTTTTAAAAATAACCATAATTTTAAATCAAAAAATTAAAAATAAAATAAAACCAAAAAAAAAAAAAAAGGAAGTTTCAGGGTAAATGTGGGAGAAATTCTGGGATCAGAACTAAGTCAAAGGAAAGCTTAAAGTATTAGAAAATTTGTTTCCGTGTCCTGAGGACATAAAGTCGTAGGGAAAAATAGCCTGCCCCTGTGTGGCATGCATTACCAGTGACATAATTATTAAAGATTTTTCAGAGTTGTCCTGTTTTGTTTTAATTATCACAGAGGAAAGAGAAGGACCCTTGGAATATAAGTGCACTCGTTCTCCATTGTCTAAATGGCTGATGTTGTTACAAATGAACAAAACGGAAAGAAAAAAGCTTGAGATATTTTTGACAGTTAACAAAAAGGACTCTCCCTCGCTATCCTGATCGAGGTCACTGTTTAAAAAGTGTGTTCAGAGGAAGCTCCCAGTGTCTTGTATGGTCATTAACGGTGTCACTGGGGTGAGTCGTCTCCAGTCCCAGAGTTCCTGCCAAGGTGTTCAGAGCCCAGTGGGGCCAGCACAGCCCTCTCCGCAAGATACTCTCTCAGCTTCTGGGAATGCCTCTTAGATACTGCTACCAGGATACCAAAATATTTCCCAAATATACTCTCAGCCGAAGGCAGGACATAGCATTTCCACTCCAACTTCTTACTGCTCTTGCTTCTTCCATAACCTCAGCTGTCAGTGAAAGGCTTCAGAATCCAGCTGTCTGTTTTTGAAGACTGGGGCATCGTCCTCACGGATTTGAGTGCCTGCCCTGCGTGTGTGAAACAGACGGGAGGCTCTTACAGGTCACTCTGTTTGCCTGGGCTCCAAGTTCAAGGCCTGTGCCCAGGAAGGTGGGTTCCCCAGTTTCTAGGGGCAGCGGCCTTCCCAGCGGAGTAGGCCGTGTGTCTTTAGCGCCACCTTTTGGAAGCTTGGAGAGTGGCATGTTAAATTCTCTGCGTAAGCGTCGTTCTGTTTGTGCGGTGACTGAATCTGTTGTAACACAGCCATGTGATTTTCGAGTGGTCAGTGTCATCTCTTAAATTTTTGCTGACCCAGTGTTGATTATTATGAGTGACTGAATCTTAGTGCCTAAAAATCTAACCGGAGTAATCCAGAGTTTAGGAGAATTGGCTATCGTGTCAGGTCTTTTTTTTTTAAGTCTCTTTTTTCTTAGTAACCTCTACACCCAATGTGGGGCTCGAACCCATGACCTCAAAATCAAGAGTTGCGCTCAGTCTTCAACTGAGTCAGCCAGGTGTCCCTAACCTCAAGTCCTTATAGTTAAATATCAAAGCAGTTGGACAACTCTGAAAAAGAGTTACTGGAATGGGTTAGATTCAGTACATATTTTATGGCAGCTGGACCTGAGGTACCCATCTATACATTGTTGTTTAACTGCTCTTTTATATACAGCAGTCACCATGAATGTTGTTATCCCTGGAATCTGGCATCTTTATTTGAGATTTTTGGAACATAAGTAGAGAACTAGGCAGCTCTCTTCAGGTGTATTCCTGAGTGAGGCGGAGGAGCGTAACTGGAAACGTGGCAAGGGTCCAGGTTTAGGATTGATGCGGTATCAGAGTCTGCTCCAGAACGAGTACCTGCTGTGGATGAATTGCATCGGCTTGGTGGCCGGGCCCCCTGGATGGCAGATGGCAGGAGCCACACGTACCCTGAGAGTGGACCCAAGCGCATCTCCATTTGGCTCTTTCTTTTTACAGAAAGGAAAGAAACCCAAGGCGGCAGAGTCTGTCTCAAAGCCAGGAGTCAGTGAAGGTAAGACACTAGAAGAAGTTAATATGGGGATCCCTGGGAGGCTCAGCGGTTTAGCACCTGCCTTTGGTCCAGGGCGTGATCCTGGAGTCCCGGGATCGAGACCCACATTGGGCTCCCTGCATGGAGCCTGCTCCTCCCTCTGCCTGCGTCTCTGCCTCTTTTTCTCTCTCTCTCTCTGTCTCTCATGAATAAATAAAATCTTTAAAAAAAATAAAAAATAAAATCTTTTTTTTAATAAAATCTTTAAAAAAAAAAGTTAATGCTTTTGCTTTGTTTGGTTTACCTTTTTTTTTTTTTTTTTTTAACAGAATCCCCAGGACCATCAAAAATTAAGGCAGTGAAGCCTGAAGAAAACAACCTGGATTCTAGGGAAAAGAAAGCCAACTCAGCTCCCAAAAGTGCAGGTGGGTCCTGCCAAGACAACAGGGAGCTGTTTAGAAAGCTGGTAACCCAGAGGGTTATGTTGCAGTTTCCTTGGAGTGAATTCAAAAGCTCAAGCTCATCCTAAGTCCTGTTTCTGAGGAGTTCATTGAGCTCTCCTGGAGGCCAAGAAACAGTCCCCCTACCCCAAAGCCTGGTTGAAGGAGCCTGGGCAGAGATGCTGAGTACATATCTGCCAAGCTACCAAGGCTCCACGGGGAGCTGGACTCAGACTCACTGGGGAGACTGGTTAGTGACCTGAGGCTCGGCATTGGGCGGGAATGTTCCCAGTCCCACTAAGGCTGGGTTTTACGTGGCATACGAGGCACTTAGCCAGCCTTCCCTTTACCTGCCTCCTGGCCACATGTCAAAGGGCTATTTGACATATAGTCCAGAAGTCGGTGCATTTCTCCTCACTGCCTTTAACTCAAAGATTTCTTTTATGAAAAGGAAACTCAGATTTATTATTAGGTGAAGGAATGTATAATTTCATGATGTGAGAAGTACCCACAGTACTACTTGATGGCTTCAGGTCCCCAGCCTCCCCGGAGTAGCCACCTGGCCTGGGGTAGGTGACACAGCCTTCTGGTAGTTCTGCTCCTGGCCCTGTGAAACAGGCTGACAGCCCCCACGCATCGGTCCGATCTGCAGCATTCACAGGGTGGGGAGCAGAGCAGAGCATAGTTGTTGATTTTCAGTGATAGATTTAAGTGCAGTAGCTTCACCTGCTCTAGGAGTTGGCAGTTGAGGTGATGTACTGTGACGTTTATCCCAAGAAAGGAAGGGGGAAATTCCTGAGACTAACAGACTTTTTTCCTTTTAAAAAGAATGTGATATTTGGAGTGATCTGTAGGCCCCCCCGGTAAAGTATTTGGCTTTTCATTCTTCCAGCAGCAAACGGGAGCTCTTCTGGAAAAATTGGGAAGCCTCTGGGTGGAGCTGCAAAGAGATCCATTGCCGATAGCGAAGAATCTGAAGCTTACAAGTCCCTTTTCACGACTCACAGCTCCGCCAAGCGCTCCAAGGAGGAGTCGGCCCACTGGGTCACCCACACGTCCTACTGCTTCTGAGGCCCATGCTGCACTCCACGCCATGCGGGCTCCGTTCCGTTTCCACGGGGGCAGGTGGCGTAGGTGTCACTGTCCCCTGTACTCTGCTCGCTCTCTGTTTGTGCGGGGCAATAAAGTCCTCCTCCCAAACCTCCTTGCTGGTGTAGTTGCTCTTGCTTGTGAGGACGCGTGGGTTCCCAGTGACAGACGTGCTGGGCAGCTGGCCACCCCCTTCCAAGGCACATGCACCTGCTCTCCCCGCGGCCCAGAGAGATGCACTGGCCACACTTCTTATGCTTGAAATAATTAAGGACTTAAATGCCTGGTGAGGTGTGTGGTTGGGCCCTTTTGACTAAAATTGTAATGATTTTGCTGCCAACAGTTAGGCCAAATGAAACTGCGCTCTAGGAAGTGAATTTTAAATGCACTCTGCCTGCAGGTCTGTTTGCGGGAAGGCATCTGTGCCTGCTGAGTAGAGCTGGGGCCTTGCCAGTTGAGTACTTCAGGGAAGTTCCTTTACTTTAGCAGTTTCAAGATGAAAGCGATTTAGTTGGGTACCTGAGGATTTGATAAAAAAAATAAAGCAAGGCCGCTTTTCTCTCACCTGTGTGTATTTTTCTCTCTTCCATAATGTTTTAGTAAGAAAATTATAGCCTTTCCGTTGATAGTGTCATAGCATTTGCACATCATGAGTTCCTTTTTCACTCAGAAGATGAAGGAAATAGGGACGGCTGGGTGGCTCAGCAGTTGAGCGTCGGCCTTTGGCCCAGGGCATGATCCTGGAGTCCTGGGATCAAGTCCCACATTGGGCTCCCTGCATGGAGCCTGCTCCCTCTGCCTGTGTCTCTGCCTCTGTGTGTGTGTGTGTGTCTCATGAATAAATAAAATCTTTTTAAAAATATATAAAAAAAAAAAAAGATGAAGGAAATTATATGTAGTATTGGTGTCTCTTACCGATCCGTAACGTGTGCTGACAGCAGTCATTGGAATTCCCATGGGACAGCTGAGTAAGAGCTGGGAATATCCCGGAGTCAGCACGGCTCTCTGGAGCCGGTCACACCGTTGACAGGACCGGCTGGTTTCCGTCAACAAGCAGGAAAAGGAGCTGGGGGCAGGAGGGGGCGCGGTGTGAGAGGCCCCACATTCTCTGCCTCTGAGGGGCAGAAAGTTTGGCTCCCCAAGGCATCTTTCTTTGAATACAGAAGCATTTTAATCAGAATTCTAGTAACATCAGTGAATTTTTGCTGTAGACTTTTCCAGAACAAACCTAAATTGCCCACTCGCTTCTTACGTGTTTCCTGTACAGCCGGGTTAAACCATTTCTAGTTGCTTTTTAATTCCTTTTGTCAAATTATTTTCATAACGATCAGTACCTGTCTTATTTGGCTAAAATTTCTCTGTCACAGTGAGTTTTCTCCTTTCACAAAGAAAACTAAACAGTCTTTTTAGCTGAATGTCACTAATCACAGATTCAGTCATGAGGTGTTTTTATAGGTTAACGGCCATTATTTTGCCAACTTCGATTTTCCCTAATTTTAGCTTTAGATATTTCGACTGTCCCCAGTTTCTCCCAGTGACCCGGTCACAGTGTCCCCAGCATCAGAACCTGGGGCTCAGGCCGCCCACTTCCCTCCAGGTCACCTCCAAGCTCTGCATGGCGCTCCCTCCCCTCCCTCTGGGCCTGCAGCCTCCCCAGCGCCCCAGCCTCTCCCCACCTGCAGCCCCCCAGGAGAGCTTGCTCTGGAGAGGCCTTTCAGCCTTCAGTGCCTAGCGAGGCGTCGAGCCCTCGGAGGCCCGAGGAGCCAGTGGCACTCATCCGGTGCCCCCCCCCCTGCCTGGCAGGATGCCTGGTACACGGGAGGGAGAGCAAGGCAGCAGGGGCTCGGAGCTGCCCGTTCTGAGCGCTCACCGGAAGAGTTAAGCACTCGATGGCCTTCGTCTCTTGGGACTCGCTGACACACAGAGAGCGGCCGGTGACCATCGTCCCTCCTTGAAGCATCGCAGCCCCGGCAGGTGAGGGCCAGAGGGAGGAGGACGGGGCACCTGCCAGCTCCTGCCCCGTGGCCACCCCGCAGGACCTTAGCCTCTGCTAGCCGGGGTGGGGGGACACGGGAGGGCGGGAGCTCCAGGACACAGGCTGTTTAACGCGCTTTCTTTCATTTTACAGCCTCCCCACAGTGAACTGAGCAGATTGCCACTCGACACCATGAACCTTCCTGCCTTTTGCCCCAGAGAGCCTTGGGCTCAAAGATCTTTCTGCTTCTTACGTGCCTTTCCCTTGTCCTCCTTCTATTGAAAAGCTGCTTTAGGCTTTTGAGCGCCGAATAAACCACGACGGCGTTTGCTATCGTTAAATATACATAAACATTTCCAAACGACAAAAATCACACGGAGGGAAATTTCCTGAACATTCCTGTTGCGTGGGGTCATCTACGTGAATAAAGCCTGTCTGCCCCTCACTGCATCACACCGAAACCGCCACATGTTAGAACCCTGTTGGGGGTGGGGTGTGACTTAAAATACGGGGTGCATGTAGGCACAGGGCCACCCCAAGATACTCTGCAGCCGTGGGTCAGCAACAGGGCGACCCACCAGAGCCGGGTGAGGCTGCTCGGGACGGCCAGGGCAGAGTCTGGGTTCCAAGGATGAGCCCCCGAGGGTCACCGGGCACCCCCTCTGGCACTTGGCCAGAGGTACCTGCCAGCTGCTTCCCCAGGAGCAACTTCAAAGTAGCCCCTCGCGAGGAGGAATGGGTTCTCTTACCGGGCTACCTTCCAATCAGCCCTTTGGCTTTGCCTCTCTGCAGGCCCCGAGCAGACCACCTCCTACAGGAAGGCCCCCGCCTGTCCGCGAGCTGTGCACGCGTAGGAGCCGGCTTCTCCTGTGCTTTCAGATAGTCTGAAAACTTCTTGGTCACTGCCCAGAGCTCAGCACGGTTCGAGGCACGGGGAGGGTCCCCATTGGATCCTTGATGACAGCTGAACATTTCATTCCTAGGGACCAAGTGTGAATCAGACGACACGGGGGAACAGGTACATAGGCTTTGTGTTCCATTAAATGCGATTCTTCCGGTTTCAAAAAAAAAAAAAAGAAAACGTTCGGTTTCAAATACACTGGCCAGCGAGCCCTAGCTTACGTCCCCACGTTGGCTTCGGTTGGCATACGGGCGGGGTCCTTCTCCCTCAGGGTGTTCACAGCCCCCCAGATGCCAGCACCCCCCGCTTTCCCCAGCCACCTCATCGCCCCTCAAACTACCCGAAAGTCTTTTTTTGGGAAAGCCTCCCTGCATAACCTAACCTAGAGCCGCCTCGTACAGTTCTGTTCTCCTAGAGTGCTCGCTGCTTATCACAATTTGAATGAAGTGATTTATCCTCTTCCCCACGCACCGCACAGCCAGGGACGATCGGTGAGTGGAGGCGGGAGGCGCGAGGGAGCGGTGGGCACGAGGGAGAGCGTGGCCACCCCCAGGGCCTGTTTGGCCCCAGCCGAGTGGCCGAGTGGCCAGTGTTACCAGCTCATCCCTGTTTTCCAAGGAAGCCAGAAACCTTGGTTTCAAAAGTCGAGTCCCTCCCAATATTTAAATATTACCAAATAGGGCAGCCGGGTGGCTGATGCCCTGGGCCCGCCGCAGGCGCGTCCGACTCCGAGACCTGGGTGCTGGTTGGGGTCCTTGGAGGCGGGCCGGGCGCTGGAACGCGGCAGGGCGCAGGCAGGGTGCGAGGCCACGATCCTTTCCTGCCCCCGGCCCTCGGGCTCGGGGCCCACATGGCCCAGGACGCCCTGCTGTTCGGTGGCCCCTAAAGAGCGTGGCTTGATCTCTGTCCTACTAACTGAGGTCTTCTCCCTGACAAGGGATAGATTCGAGATCGTGGGGTGTTTCGGGCCGAAGTTATTCCTGGAGGCAGGGGTTTAGCACCCCCTTCGGCCCGGGGCGTGATCCTGGAGACCCGGGATCGAGTCCCGCGTCGGGCTCCCTGCGTGGAGCCTGCTTCTCCCTCGGCCTGTGTCTCTGCCTCTCTCTCTCTCTCTGTCTGTCTCTCATGAATAAATAAATAAAATCTTTAAAATAAATAAATAAATATCGCCAAATAATCATGTCTGGGAACAACGCAGGCCAAGCAAAGCCCGAGGGGCTCCCAGTGTGTAGCCTCTGGTGTCATCCCCCCCCCCCCCCCCCCGGCTCTGGGTCCCACAGGGACACGTGCTCCGCCGCCCCGCTCACCTCAACGTCTGGCCTGGACAGGTAGAGAAAGGGCGGAACCGGGGGGGGGGGGGAGGCTGCCTGTGTCCCCGCCGTCGCTGCACCCGCCTTGGAGGCCGCTCCAGGGCGACCCCCGGGAGCCTCCTGAGCCCCGGCCCGAAGCGTCACAATGGCCTCTGTGACATCACCAACAGCCGGGCCCCAGGCACCCGGTCTCCGGGTGCGCGGGAACAGACCCACCATGAGCAGCTTCGCGCCCCAGCTCTGCTCACCATGCGGACGCTGACATGGCTCTTGCTCCTGCCCCTGTGCCTCTCCTGCGCCTACGCCTTCATGTTTTCCCCGCTGCGAGACAAGGCCAAGGAACCGCAGGGGAAGGTGCCCTGCGGAGGCCACTTCCGAATCCGGCAAAACCTCCCGGAGCACGCCCAGGGCTGGCTGGGGAGCAAATGGCTCTGGCTGGTTTTCGTTGTTGTGCTGTACGTGATACTGAAGTTTCGAGGAGATAGTGAGAAGAGTAAGGTAAGGACGGCCCCTCCCCGGGCCCACCCCGGGCCCCGCCACCTGGGCCCGCCGCCGGCGCGTCCGACTCCGAGACGTGGGTGCTGGTTGGGGTCCTTGGAGGCGGGCCGGGCGCTGGAACGCGGCGGGGCGCAGGCAGGGTGCGAGGCCACGATCCTTTCCTGCCCCCGGCCCTCGGGCTCGGTGGGGGCCCACACGGCCCAGGACGCCCTGCTGTTCGGTGGCCCCCAAAGAGCGTGGCTGGATCTCTGTCCCACTAACTGAGGTCTTCTCCCTGACAAGGGATAGATTCGAGATCGTGGGGTGTTTCGGGCCGAAGTCATTCCCGGAGGCAGGTTCGCCGCCCCCGCTTCTTAATTTCCCTAGAAGAGATTCTTAATTTCTCGCCAGTTGTCGAGCCGAATGGAAGTGGCATCGTTATCCCAGGAAAAGGAAAAGACCTGTCGTGAAGGGATAAAGGTGTAAGGGAGGAACAGCTCCTCCCTAAAGCGGCTGCACAAGCCTCCGACGGGGAAAGGGGGAGAGAAAAACGGCATGTCCTCTGCCAGACAGGCCCCGACTTCGTGACACTGTGTCCAAACCGATAGAGCAGAGCTTGGCAAACGTTTTCCGGAAAAGACCGGATGGTAGATCCTTTGAGCTCTGCAGCCCACACAGTCTCGGTTGCGACTCCTCAACCCTGCCGTCTGGGCGTGAAAGCAGCCTCGTGCAATGTGCCAGTAAATGAGCGAGGCTGCGTTCCAATAAGACTTTACTTACAGAAACAGCCGGTGGGCCCGATTGGGCCATAGTTTGCCAATCCCTGGACTAGAGCGCAATGCTAGAACCGTCTTCTCTCAAGGTGAGCCCGACCCTGTCGGAACTGCGTCAGGACAGCAAAGCCACCCATGCTGTCATTCACCCCGAGTATCTTTCTTGACAGGAGCAGAATCCTCCCGGCCTTCGAGGCTGTCCATTTCGCTCTCCACTAAAGAAAAATCAAAATGCTTCCCCCAACAAAGACTATGCATTCAATACCCTAACCCAACTGGAGATGGAACTTGTGAAATTCGTGTCCAAGGTGCGGAACCTGAAAGTCGCCATGGCAACTGGCAGTAACCTCAAGCTTCAGCACTTGGAGGTACCTCCAGAGCCACACAATAATATTACCATCTATGAAATATGGGGCGAAGAAGACTCTGAATGAATGCGCTTACGTGTCAGAGTAGGAGAGACAAAACTGAGTGTTGACAAACCGTATGCAAACCAATAAAATTATTCTGAAGAAAAAGAATTCTCAAATGTGACACCTTTTCTTCCCCCCGCCCCCTCTCTTTTGAAACTGGAAGAAAAAATAAATGTGAGCCAGTAGCCGCAGCAGTTACTCTCTTGTTTTTGCCTTCCTCACCTCCACTAGAGCAGAGAGTGGTGAGAAGAGCACAGACAGCCACGGCACCAGGGCCCCTGGAGGACGATACGGCTTAGGAAATTTGGGATACGATGCAGAAACCATCTTCATAGTAGTCATCCTTGTAGAAGCTATTTGTGCAAAAGATGGAACCAATTTTTGTCTTTATAACTTATCACAAAGGCCGACTTTACAGGTTTAAAAGAAAAATGAATTCAGAGGTGTGTGTGTGTGTGTGTGTGTGTGCGTGCACGCGTGTGGACGCACATGTGTGCCTCTGTCGGGGAATGCTTGATTCTAGAAGCACTTGATTTTCTTACCGTCAGAAAAGTCTTTTTATTCATTCTGTCTCGTGGATGACCCGTATTGACCTTTTCTTGTACCAAATGTCTAACTGGATTAAGAAATAGAGAATCGATCTATATTTTCAATGTAATTCAGATACAGGTGAGCTAACCGGGGCTTCCCAAATTAGTTGACACGAATGTGTATAATGCTTATTAAAAATATGGATGTTTCGGCATGTTTTGTATGGCTAATGGGAACTATGCTTACCCAAGGCTGTAAAATTAGCCTCCTGAGCCCCAGTCAAGGTCAGCGGGTGCAGGCCTGGAGAGGCAAGCTAGTGGGGAGGACCACGGAAGGGCCAAATCAATGTGTGCCTGACAGGGGAGTCCTGAGTCTCCATCAGCGAACCCCCATTGTTTGGGCCGAGCATTCAGGCTCTGTCCCGTGTGTGGGGGAGTCAGGCCTCAGACAAAGGCCGCCAAGCCCATCTCTTCCCGTCTCGTCCCTCCTGAACACTTTTTGTCTTGACTTAACAGGATGGGAAAGAATGGAAGGAGCGGAGTTGTGCCTTCAGTATTCCGAGTTGTCCAAGCAAATGGGACCATGCGAGTCGTTTTCACAGCCGACTCTGAGGACACTCGGAGAGGCAACAGATATTTTGGTTGGAACCTGTGATCTCCACGTGGCACAGATTTTAGATGAATGGAGATCACCTACAAGGCCAGGGGTCTGCAAACCATGGCTCACAGGCCGGCTCGCTACCCGGTTTCATACTACCCGTGAGCTGCTAATGGCTATTATGTCTTTCAATGGTTGAAAAAAGATGCGGAATATTTCAGGACGTGCAAATAACATGAAATTCACCTTTCAGTGTCCATTGACTCTTGCTGGCACACAGCCACGCGTGTTCGTCCCCGTACTGCCAAAGGCTGCTTTTGTGCTCGTTGGCAGGGTTGAGTTAGCGCGACAGAAACCCTGTGGCCCACAAAGCTGAAAATATTTGCTGATGGGGGCCCTTTACAGGAAGTTTGCCAACCCCTGGTTTATGCTAATCTTATTTACATGTTAACAACCAGGGAGAGTGTCCAAGAGGAGCAGATATATATATATATAAGGCTGTAACCTTCACAACCCTCCCACATTTGTCTGATAGGCAAACAAGTAATTTATGAATCACATTTTTTGTAGTTCTGTCCAGGTCACGAGCAACTAAGGATGGGGACCTAAGAGAAGGCAAAACAGCACAATTCCTTAGAGCAAGCTGACAAGGATACAAATTAGAACAAAAGCTGCTGTGCCTTTGGATGTAGCAATTTCTTTTTTTTTTTTTTTTTTTTTTTATTCATGAGAGACACACAGAGAGAGGCAGAGACCCAGGTGGAGGGAGAAGCATGCCCCCTGCGGGGAGCCCGATGCAGAACTGGATCCCAGGACCCCGGGGATCACGACCTGAGCCAAAGGCAGGTGCTCAACCACTGAGCCCCCCCAGGTGCCCCATGAATGTAGCAATTTCTATAAACAGTGTCCCTGGGTCTTTGCCTTGCCTCATGCAGAGCTTTGCAGGCCACAGTTTTGCGTAGACAACGGTGTTTTCTTAACCCAGTCAATTTCATGCGATATTTTCATGCAAAAAAATGCATTCAATTCGGGACCTAGAGCCTAAGAAAGCTACTGAATTCTGCTGTTCCAGCAAAAACTCAAATCCTAATGTCACCACACTCTGGTTTCAAAAGAGCGGTTGACGGACCAACGGTGACCGTGGTCCTCTAGCGCTGACGTGCTCGGCCCAGGGGCTCCCCCGCAGCGTTGATGCTTGTCTCCTGCAGTGGGGACGTCCCAGTGGTTTGCTCCTTGAAGGCCAGCAGGAGTGACAGCTGTCACATGACCTACTGGATAGAAACGTGTCTCTCTAGGGGTGGGGGTGACCCCCGGCGTGAGCGGCAGGACTGGACCACGGCAGACCCCGCGGCAGAGAGGGCGGCCGGCCGCTCCAGCACTAGAGGATGCTAACGGAGAAGTGGGAGTCCGGTCGGTGCCCCGCTCGGCAGGGTCATCCGCAAGGCCTTTCTCGTGTGTCTGGGCATGGACGGGGGCGGATAGGGGGGGCCCGGGGAGGGGGCACGCAGCCTTGTGTAGTCAGTCTCTGTCTTGAGTGTGGGCTGGAGCTGCCGGGATGGTCACTGCATGATGCCGGTGTGTCCCGTGAGGCTCCATCCCAGCCCCGACACCCTCCCGGTGGTCTCTCGGTCACACCGCAGCGACGAGATGGGTTCTAGCAACAACCAGTGCCCTGGAAAGAGGCGCCCAAGTCGGGTGAACCCGCAGCCGCAGCTGACATCCAAGTGCCTGAGCACAGGGGCCCGCTGTCCGAACTCACACTCCGGACCCACGGAAACGGGGAGACAGTAAGTGTGCATTGCTTTAAGCCGCTAAGTCTGTGGTAATTCATTACACCGAAGTAGGAAAAAAAGTAATGCAGGACGTGTACGCACACGGACGCACCAGATCTTTCCACCTGCTGTTTCTGACGCCCGGGATGACGCGTCCACCCGCCCTCTGAGCTGCGCGTCGGCCTCTGGATCCGAGAAGCGGGACCAGTATCAGGACAGGATCAAGAACGGGAATGTCCTGGCCCTCGAAACCAGAGGCTACCAAGGGTTGGCGCGGGGACCGAACGAGTCACAAGAAGTTGAAAAGATCAGAAAAGAGACTCGGTGAGGCCCTTCCCCCAGGTTCCCCAGCGGTCGTGTCTGGCGTCACTGGTACAAAAACCAAGGCAGGGACCTGACGTTGGGACGGCGGGGGTGAAGGGTTCTGTGGCATCTTACCCACGTGGAGGTTGGTGCAACCACCCACACTGAGGAGGGCACTTGGTGGGATGAGCGCTGGGTGTTATGCTATATGGTGGCAAATCGAACTCCAATAAAAAGAAATTAAAAATAAAGAAATAAATAAATAGCCACCCACGCAGCCGAGAGACAGGTCTGCGCCGGCTCGGGGGCTCGGGGACCTCCGTATACCGTCCCCCTCGCGCCCGCCCCGGCTGCCGCTCATCTGTTTCCATCGCTAAGATTTTGTTGTTTCTTTTCCTTTTTTTAAGATTTTATTAGTTCATAGGAGACACAGAGAGAGAGAGAGGCAGAGGGAGAAGCAGGGAGCCCGATGTGGGACTCGAACCTGAGACTCCGGAATCACGACCTGAGCCAAAAGCAGACGCTCAGCCGCTGAGCCACCCGCTTTTGTTGTTTCGAGGCTGTCACATGACTGGGGTCACCCAGCGTGTGACCTTGGAGGTCCGCTCTTCCACTCAGCATAATGCCCCGAGTTCCTGCAAGTGATTCCCTGCGCCGACCCTCCCCCTCGTGCCATCCACCTGCCGAGCTCGTTTCCCCATCCACCTGCTCAGGGACATTCTGGTCATTCGCAGGTTTGGGCTCTTCCGATGACATTTGTTGCAAAGGATCACGTACGGGCTTTTGCGTGGACATGCATTTTTATTTCTCGGGGACAAATGCCCAGATTGCCAGGTCATATGGGAAAGGGTGTGTTTTGGCCTCCAGTAAAATGGTTAGAACCCGGGATTCGTGGCCAACGTCTTACGGTGAGATTTCACATTATATTCTAGTGAGGGAGGCACAGTAAGTCAGCAAGTCTCTATAAAACACAAATAAACACAAGGGGAGTTGCAGGACGTTCGCCCTCTGCGCCTTCCCAACCGACGTGCAGAGGCACCCAGCGGCCTCGAGCCCTGTGACCTGTCTCCTCCGGGTCCCGCCGCACCAGGTCCACTTCTGCCTCGGGGCAGTGGCACTCGGCCTGTCGCCCTGGGGGACGCTTTGCCATCAGCTGTCACGGTGCTGGTTGTTGTGCTTATCTTTCTGGTCTTTGACCTGCTCAGAGAGGCCCCCGCTGACCACCCGCTGACCCCCCTGCCGCTCTCCCCACATCACCCAGTTTCCGTTTTCTCTGCATCACCATCACCGTGCGACATGATGCTTTCTGTTGACCTGCTCCTTGTTCGTCCCGGTCCCCTGAGCGTAAGCTCCGTGAGGACAGGGATGTGTCTGCTGCGGTCCCCGCGCTCGTCCCCTCGGCCTTGGCGGTTGGGAGAAGGGCGACCAGCGGTCCTGCACAATGTCCCTCCGTCTCGGTTGAGCGGCGCCTGTTTTCTCACGGTGGGAATGAGGTGACGCCTTTGGGCAGGAGCCCCGAGCCGTGCTGTTGTGCCCCAGAGGCGCCGCAGCGCCGAGCATCCCGACCTTCACCTGTGACCAAGGTGGGGCCTGCGTCAGGTGGAGATGTGTCCTAGGCCGCCCTGAGGCCGCACCCTCGGCCCCTCCGACTTTCACCCACTGATGGAGCATCCCTCCCGGGGCTCTTCCGCAGTGATTATTTCAGGGATACTGGTATTTGCCTGATGGTAATTTTGATTCCCTCTTTCCGTCTTCATTCATCAACCGGAAGTCTGCTGTAGGGAAGACCTGGCCCTTCTTCCCCGTTTACTGGTTGAC